GGGGGGGGCAGTATTCCTACCATTCCTTTTGCCATTTTGTCACGTGTAAGGATCATCGCATGAAACATGCAGAGATCAGACTGAAGGAAAGTCTCCAACTGCTCATCTTTTATTTTGAAAAGACTAAAAGGTGTTGTTTATTGAGGTGAGGTGTTGATTTCAAGTTTAGGATCGATGGTGCCATGAAGCAGACCGATAATCAGAGTAAAAAGGAACGTTTCCAACTCTTATTCATTTTATTTCTTTGTATCCTGAAGGGACCAAAAAAAAAAAAAAAAAGGTGTTTATTGAGAAGGGGGAATTTATTTCTTCACTGCAAATACTGCATTCGAGGCATGGAAAAGAAAGCAAGCACATTCCAGCCGGCAAAAGTCAGCTTGCAGGTCTCTCACTTTCTTTCCAGGCGTCAAACATTTTCCAGTGTGCGCCATCAACTACAACCAACAGACACCCCATCTCAATAACACGCGATCAACGAAGAAATTAAGACCTGGCCTCAATAAACACCGCTCTTTAGCGACATTAGAAGCGCAATTGGAGACTTTCCTTTGCTCCGATATCGGCATGTTTCATGGCATGATCCCAATATGATTAAGTCGAAGAAATAAACGCCTCACCTCAATAAACAATCACCTTTTGTGTCCCTCCCCCCACCCCCTTGGGATAAAATAAGGACAGTTGGAGACTCATTTAATATATTGACCTGCTCTTCAGCTCAAAAAAATTGTCGCTGTTTGGAAATGCGCCGCTGACGGGAACTCTACAGGTGAGCTATTATCTAAAGTGAGGCATTCGGTGCACTTCATCTGCGCTTTAAACACTCGTCAAGACATCCGCGTACGGCACCAGAAGTGAAATGTCAGCGTCGAGCCCTTTTATGAAGCTTTGCAGCGTGCGGCAAAAAAAAAAAAAAAAAAAAAAAAAAGAGAAAAAAGGGAAATGTTAATGAATTGTCAGAGGAGGAGAAGATCAGAGGAGCCAAACGAATTTCATATCACACCAAAAGACCCAGCATTTAATTAAAAGTGGTCTGGAAAAAAAAAATGGTGACAACAAGGTTCTCTTCCAGCAAATTAAATAAGTCAATTACCGGAGCCCCCCGGCGAGGAGGAGGGGGGAGGGCGGGGGAGAAATGGCCGGAGAGACAAAAAAGACCCGAGAGACGACTCCATGGCTGAAAGGCCCACGCTTTGGAAGCCGGGCCCCCAAGCGGGCCTCCTCTATGGCGCTCGCGGCGCTTACTCACGCCCTCAACCTCCGCTGCGCCTCCACGCTCGCTCGCCAACACAGATTATTCCAGGAAAAATCGTGCGCGGAGCAGGTTTTCTCTGCAAGGCAGCACGCAGTGCTCCGCTCGACTATCCCGGCCACTATTAATACTCCCTTTTGACTCATTAAAATGCTCTCATGGCTGCGGTGAACGTTTAGGAATATTGTTGAGCTTAAAACTCCTTCAATCCCAGCCATTTTCACTGGATATTGACTGATCTGGCAAGGCCCACAGAATATTTGGTTCTGATGACATATAAACATGGAGCCTACCAAAATAAAGTTTGGACTCTCTTCTTTCAGCAGAAAAAAAATTTGTTTCTATCTTCCGCAATCGGCATTACAAAATGGCCAAGTTTCATGAAAATGGCGATTCCTGGGCAAAAAATGGAGAAAAACAGCTTTTTGTAAAAGCATGCATTTCAAGCACGTGAGCCCACTGCCACCTAGTGGTCGCTTTTTTACACGATTTACAATGCAAACGGCTTATTCTAATTTACAGATTGCATCAGACCCTCCTCCTCTCTATGATGCAAAAAAAAAAGATTTAGACGTACAAGTACGTCCTTGGTAGGCGGGGCCTATTTTCAAGAAGACGTACAAGTACGTCTTGTGGAATTAAAGAGTTAAGAAGAAAGGATATTGAAAACGTTGGTGTTGTTCAAGGATACACAACACCAAACGAGAACAAAAATCAGTTCAAAGGAGTGGAACGTAGCCAAAACGTCTGATTTAACAACAATTTTGGTGCGTCCAGTCATGATGTGACAAATCCACCAAATGTGTTGATTAGTGAAACTGGTTTTGGTGCCTCTCTGTTTTTTTTTCGAACTTTACAGGGGACACTATGGAATTCATTGGCTTGAAATGGCCACTTCAACCCCAAATTTCTGTGTTCCTTTTCAATTTTTTGCAAAAATCCTGTAACTTTTTGGTGCGTCTTGTTTCGATAGACAAGTGCACCAAATTCCCTGTCGGTCAGTGAAGGTAGTTTGGTGGCTCCTTTGGAGGTTTTTTTTTTCCTGACTTTCCAGTTCAAGTGAGTGACTTACTTTCTGTGGAACTATTGTGCTGACTGCAGTGTTAGCACTCAGTCAGCAGGGCGCGCTAGAGTCACACTCCAGGCGAGTGTTTTTTTTTTTTTTTCCCAGGTCAGATAAAGTTTACCCCGGCCACTCAAGTTGAGCACTTGGAAGTTCTCATGGCGGGGATGTGAGAGTCAGCAGTCCCCCCTCGAGGAAAAAAAAAAAAAAAAAAAAAAAAAAACGAAGTCTTCCTGAGTGCGTGAGTCCGAGGCGAGTTGGTAAGCGAGCGTTCATATGAGTGTGCGGGGATGAATATGAATGAGGCGAATGAAAGCTGATGAATGTTTGCCCTTATCTCCATAAAGATTAGACAATTCCCTTGAACCGCAGCCAAGGACGCGCACAATAAAAGGACACTTTTTCAACAGCTCATAACATCACATTGCCATGAGATGATGGATCATGTCCTGGCCTCAACGCCTGCCTGTTTACTTTTTTTTTTTTTTTTTTTAATCTATCTCCCGTGCCCATGGCCCGATCGTGGCAAATGATCTTTTAACAAGAACCCCGGGACAGAGTACACATGAGACTTATTGAAATTAATTCAGATATTAGGCTCTTGTGTCGCCCAGGACACCCCCCCCCTTGCCCCCCACTGGCCCATCGTGATAGCGAGATAAATCCTATTTGGCCACTTAAGGTGAAAGTCATCAAAGTACTGTTTCAAACCAGGCAAGGCAAGACAGCTTCATTTATAAAGCGCATTTCATACAGAAGATAATTCAATGTGTTTGACATAGTTACGAAACAACATTTAAAAGCAAATATTTACCGGTAATTAAAAAAAAAAAAAAAAAAAAAAAAAAAAAAACGGGAGTTTCGAACAACGGTTACGGTTTCTAAATCAGGTTTCAGATTTTGATTTTCAAGTTACCAATTTTATGCCAGGATTAGGGCTTCAACCAGGTGTTCCATTTTCAAAATCGGGATTCAAATGAGGAATTGAAAATGAAGCCTTTCACGAAGTTTCATCGTCGGGTTTTAAGACAGGGTTATGGTTTCAAACAAGGGCTGAGTTTTCAACGTAGGGTTTCAAAGTGGAAGTTGGAAATCTTCCACGAGTCAGGCAATTCCAAACAAAACACAAAAATGCGCGAGAGCTAGCATTTTCAAGGCAAAGCTGGGGTTTTCATGTCAGGTTTCAAGACGCGGGGTGGGTTTCAAAATAGGGTTTTGAGCCAAGAGCACGCCACGAGATAAACACAGCGCACATAAATGGAGATTAAAAAGCGTTCAGCGTCAAACCGGCGAGGACTGGGCACAACTCGGGGGCAATAAACTTCAGCAAAGTTGCGATAAAGCGTCCTGATAAGATAAAATGACAAACTTTGTCCACAAAGGGAACATCTGACATTTTACAAAACTCGGCCCGACTATCAACACCGCAAACTTTCCGAAGCATGCTGTGGACAGCCGTGGTGTGCCTCCTGTTAGGAGCCGCTCGGAGCCTGCCGGCCCCCGCCCTCCCCCCCAGGCAGAAGGTCCTGCTAGTGTCCTTCGACGGCTTCCGCTGGGATTACGACCGCGACGTAGACACGCCGAACCTGGACCGCATGGCCCGTGATGGCGTCAAGGCCGAATACGTTACGCCGCCGTACCTCACCATCACCAGTCCCACGCACTTCACGCTCCTCACCGGTAAGACGGCAGGAAATAGGACATTTTTATCACAATCTGAACACCAATCAACCCTTTCATGCACCCTGTAACCTGATCACCTGAGAAACTGCCCACTGTAGTAACCGCAGAGAAAAGACAAAGTTGACTAATTTTCAGGAGGACAAAAAGGCGAGTTGTATGAGAACAGTCGTGTATTTCCAAGAAAGAAAAATATGACATTTTGGCAGGAACAGGGACATAATTTATTGGGATAAAAAGTCAAAATTTGATGAGAAAAAATGTGCCTGTTTTTGTGGGGATGCTTTTTCAAGACAAGCGAGTCACCAAGATATATTTTGGGCCTGATTAAAAAGTCTTCATCCCAACAGAATAAAGGCGTAATTTGCAGAAGGGAAAAAAAAATTGAAATTGTTCCAAGAACAAAGACGTATTTCCGAACTCTTACAGAGATAAAGTCATATTTTTCTTGACAAAATATGCAGTCAAACCTCGGTTTTCGAACGTCTCGGTTCTCGACCAAAAATTTCGAGTTTTTTTATGCCTCGGATGACGAACAAATTTCGGTTCGCGAACAAACTGAGCGCACTTGAATGCACCACTTGACTCCTCTCACCTTCCTTACACGAGGAAATGACGCTTCCTCGGGTAGACGAGGAAGTGGCGCTTCCTCGTGTCGCTTTCCATTGTGAGCAGACGTGTTCAATAAACTTTTTTTTTTTAAAAGAGCGTGGTTTCGGTTTTCGAACAATTCGGTTTTCGAACTGCCTTCTGAAACGGATTATGGACGAAAACCGAGGTTTGACTGAACTTGTAATATTTACCACAACAAAGATTTTTTTTTTGGTCAGGAGAAAAGAAAAAGCTTTCATCTTACAAAAAAAAAAAACGTTTTCTTTAAAAGAAATATTACAAGAATAAAAGCTGCATTTCTGAGAAAAAAAATACGAAAAGCTTGATAAGAACAAAGATGTTGCGATAAAGAGACAATCTTTGCAATGAAAAAAAATTCTTATAATAATTTTTTTTTTTTCAGAAAAACAAGCCGCAGTTTTTGCAAGAACAATGACATTTTGTCGGGGTAAAAAGTCGTAATCTCACAAAAATAAAGCGGTTTTTTTTTTGTTTTTTTTTAAGAAAAAAGTCAATTTACAAGAACGAAAGACTTATTTTGTGTGAATACAGTGTCATTTCACAAAAATCAATTGTACTTTGATTAAGGGGAAAAAATGTTATCTTGACAAGAATGAGGATATTTTGTCAGGCTAAAGAGTCGGAAAGTTGCATTTGAAGGCTGTAAGTGGAGGAGAATAAGGTCCCCCCCCCACCCAGGTTAAAGAATAGCCCTTCCCCTTTAATGAGGGAAGAAAAATCATATTTTAATGAGTGAATTTAAGGGACTTTTCTGCCGGACAGGTCGCTACATCGAGAACCACGGCGTGATCCACAACATGTGGTTCAACACCAGCAGCGCCGAGAAGAAACCGTACTACCAGACGCAGTTTGTCAACGAGTGGTGGGACAACGGCACGCTGCCCATCTGGATCACGGCGCAGAAACAGGTCCGTCTCATTCGGAAAATTGTTTTGGCATGACCGGAAAGTCAGCAGCAATCCGGCCGGCGCCGGAGCACAGCTGAAAATAAAATCCGCTGCGGCTTTCCATGGATGACGGTCAAAGACTCTTGAAAGTGGCTCGTGTGCTGACTTCAGTCGCCGATTTTAGACTCCTCTTGGTCATGAGGAGCTAAATGGCAAAACCGGCCACCGGTGTTGGATCCGTGAACGGACTGATAAATGTTGGAGTTGAATTTCAACTGAGCAGTCGTCATGATCAACAGGATCTAACATTGCAGTGTCAAAGAATGCCACCAGTAGTTTGCAAAAGAAAGACTGGAAGTGTCACAGAAAGGTGGACATTTTTACCTGCTGTAAATTTTGACATTCAGCTCCTGGTGAGAGAACTGCAAGAGACATTGAACACCGGAACAATCAAAAGTCTTTCACTGGTTACCTTTTACTCAGGTAAAACATTCACAGTCTTGACGAAAATCGGATCTTACAAAATGCTTGCAAAAACCCATGTAACACAACTCCAGGTTTGCTACAATAAATTATTGCCAAGCCTTCTGGATATTTTACCCTTTCATGCACCCTGTAACCTGATAACATGATAACTGCTGTAGTAACCGCTGTCCCTGAAAGGGTTAAAAATATATATTTACAGTACATACTACTATTGTTGTATATACCGTACATGTACCATGTCCAAACCTTATTTCCGTGCTTCCGCAGGGCTTGAAGTCAGGTTCTCTTCACTTCCCCGGCACGGCGTCCAGCTACCAGGGCCAGACGGCGATGGTGCGCGAGGTCGAGCCGCTCCTCTACAACTACAAGAACGAAACGGCTTGGCGCCAGAACGCCGACAAGGTGATGGGCTGGTTCCGAGACCAAGATCTGGACTTCGTGTCGCTGTACTTCGGCGAACCGGACGGCACGGGGCACCGCTACGGCCCGGACTCGTCTCAACGACGGGACATGGTCCGGCAGGTGGACCGCACCGTGGGCTACATCCGACAGTCGGCGGAGAACCATGGACTCAACGACATCTTGAACATCATCATCACCTCCGACCACGGCATGACCACCGTGTACCGGAACGGACTGGTAGAGGAAATCACGCTTTCCAAGATCCCGGGGTTCTCCTTCCGGGACCTGTCCTTCCACCTGGTGGACTTTGGGCCTTCGGGGATGCTGCTGCCCAAGCCGGGTAAACTGGAGAAGGTGTACCAGGCCCTGAAGGGGGCGCACCCGCACCTCCACGTCTACAAGAAGGAGGAGATGCCCGAGCGGCTTCACTTTGCCAACAATGAGCGCATTCTGCCCATCATTCTGCTGGCCGATGCGGGTTACGTCATCAATGGGGTGCGTACGAACACGTCACGCTTTGACAAGCTTCAAAACGACAACTAAGAGCTCTGACGGCATTGAATGAAGTTCAGGTGACCGATTAACATCAGTGTCTACAATATACCCTATTTTATGATTCGAGTTGCCTCTCGCTTTGTGGTTCAGGTTTCAAGACAGGGTTAGGGTTTAAGCTCGGTTAGGTTAGGTTTCTGGCCATGAAAGTAGGTTCATTTGTCTAGCTGGGGTTCGTGTTTCAAAAACAGTTCTGCTTTGGCCACAAATGTTGGGTCTTGTTTGTGTGCTTGTGTCCCAAAGAGAGTTTTAAAACTCATTCACTCCCAAAGACGTTTTTGAACGTCTTTCCAGACTTGGTCTAGAATTGGCTGGTACTGAATGAGTTTTAAGTGTGTTGAAGCAGAACCAGTCCGCGAAATGCTAAAGGTTAGCATAATCGAGCATTCATGAAGAGGCAGTCCTGGCAATAACACACACACACACACACACACACACACACACACACACACACACACACACACACACACACACACACACACACACGCACGCACGCACACAGGCACACACGCCTCGCGACAATCATCTCTCAGCATTCCAAATGAACTCTTTCATTTGTTTCATATCGCTCAGTCATCAAATATTCATGACTGTGCATTAAAGAACCAAACATAAAATTCTCAACGTCATCATCGATAGCGAGGAGAAAAACACTTCCCTCACAAATACAAATGGAGCTCAACCCTGGCAGAGGAGATTAGCTGGAGTATACGTCTCCAACCTGACAGCATGAGAACATTACTCCAAAGTCGTGATATGCGGAAGACCACAACCGAGGTAGCGTGTCAGGTCCTGTCCAAGTACACATCTCCAACCCTAACGTGATCAGCATCAAGACCACTTCATGACCACTGCAACTGTCGTCACCAGTAAAAGGAGAAGATACTCACAGATGTACTTTGAGATACATGTACAAGTACACACTGCATACAGACAGCGAGAGAACTCAGATAAGATGCAAAAAGATCAGCAAAGATAGGAGGCAAACGCGAACTACGGCTTCGACAGCAAAATCAGGCAATATCTGATTGACGGATTGCACTCACAAACAGGGAAAAGTAGGGTGTCAAGCAAAGGTTAAGGTTTCAACAAGGGCTATTTTTCCAAATTAGGGTTTCAAGGCAGGGTCAGGGTTTCAATTTAGGATTTTAACCCATGTGAGGGAGATTCAAATGATCAGTTCCATGGCCCGTTTTAGACAGAGGCATGAGGGGGTTCTGGTGCGGAGACCCGAATTCCAATCACCCTTCAGTATGCAAATGAGCCAGCATCAGCCAGTTTCTAATAGTGGGTTGCAGACTGCAAAATGAGAAGCAAAAGGATCGAGTTTGGGCGCCACTGGTCTGCATGTTTTTGACTTATCCAACAGCGCTCTCTGTTGCGTGCCAGGGAGTACTAAGCAAACACTGTCCCTGGGATCGACCCGCTACCGCACGTGCACGCATACACACACACGCTTGCTATGATGAGCAACAGCCACAACGGTTCAGAACACGAACGAAACAGAAAAATAACGTCGATACAAGTGCTTGGGAGTTTGTCAAAAGGAATCAGTGCCTACCTTAGTCGGAGACCTGAAGCGGGCGAATGGGACGCACTTTGGCAGCGTCTTCATTGCGATGACATCACGATCGTAGCTCACGTGTATCGTTTTAAAATGTTCTCCTGGCACTTTAGATTTCCATTCTTTGCCGGTGCCATCGGTGAATTAAGATGAGAATAATAAAAATAAAAAAGACATATGTCAACAGCTCTCATTGCAAGTTGCAAGTGCAGACTGCTGACGGCCAACGACTTCCGGTGATGCAGGTCACGTGCCGCCGTAAGTTAATAATATTATTTTCTTCTTTTAATACTTTTTTTGTGAAAGCAAAAGTGAGAGGATGCTTGGGGTGCAGTGTGCACTAACAGAAAAATATAGAATATTAATATCACGCACACAGACACACATCTTTTTTTTTTTTATCTATTTTCCCCTAACCCCCCCCCCCCCCCCCCCCCCCCCCGTGATCGACTTCGCACCAGTTCGCGGCCTACCGATCGATCGATCGCGATCGACTGTTTGGGCACCCCTGCTCTAAATTGTCCCGAGGTGTCGATGTGTGCCCTGCAATTGACGAGTGGGTGTACTGGCAACCAGTTCAGGGTGTCCCCCGCCTACTGCCCGAAGACAGCTAGGAGAGGCTCCAACACGCCCGCGAATCTCGTGAGGATAAGCGGATTCGAAGATGGATGGATTGACAATACACACTTTTGTTGTGTGTTGTTTATTTATGTAATTTAAATTCACGTTTGTATTTTCTGTTGTGTATTTGGGTCTTCAGTACTTCCCCGTGCAGTTCAACAAGGGCGAGCACGGCTTCGACAACCAGGAGATGGACATGAAGGCTTTCTTCAGGGCGGCGGGGCCGGCGTTCCGCAAGGGCCTGAAGGTGGGCCCCTTCGAGACGGTTCACATTTACCCGCTTATGTGCCACATCCTGGGCATCCAACCCGAGGTCAACGATGGCCGCCTGGACGCCACAAGCGAGATGCTGCTCACCCGCGCCGCCCAGGATGACGGTCAGAGGCCCGCGCCGTCAACACTACACGGCGTGACTGCTTTGCAATGACGCTTTCAGGCCTGGTTTAGAGTTTAAAAAGACAGTCAGGGTTTCAAAAGGGTGCTTTAAGACTAGCTAGAGTTTCAAACAACAATTAGGGTTTTATATTAGTGTTTGAAGCCAAAGGTTAGGGTTTAAAAAAGGGGGTTATGGTTTCAAAGTTGGGCTTTAAGACAGGGTCAATATTTTTAAAAAGTAGGGTTTCAAATTGGGGTATCAAGCCAAAGGTGAGGATTTCAAACAAGGGTTAAGGTTCCCAAAGAGGGCTTCAGGCCATAGGGTTTCAAGGTTTCAACAATCAGTTTTATATTTCATTTTTACATGTTATCTGTTTTTGTTTAGAAGAAGTCAAGCCTGTAAACTTGGTTGCGAACGCCATCACCGGCTTGGCTGTGACGGCTGGATTTCTTCTCATCGTTTTTTTCGTGATAGTGGCGCGTAAATTGCTCAACGATAGACGACAAAAAAGGTAGGAAGGGGCATTTCAATGACTACATGGGTTCTTTTTTTTTGAAGTTGTAGAAAATTTGAACATTATTTTTGTGCGTTTTTGTTTCAGATCAGCAGAGCCCACGAATCTTGCAGAAAAGACTCAACAAACTACATTTTGAGCAAAAACGACATAAATGCAAGGATTGGTCAACTCTGTGTGATTGTGTGTATGTGATGAACGGAGGAGTGAGTTCATAAAATAAATTGAAAAACGCGTTCAACTGAACGTGCTCGTTTTTGTGCCCGCCCGCTTCCCGCGCCATCTGCTAGTAACAAGTTGAAGAAACACGATAGTGTTTCCGCTTGAAAATTTCAAAATAAATAACTTTACGAGGGATTAAAAACGTGTGGTTCAACCCTTAAATCGGGAGAGGAGTTACACAGGGTTTGGGCCCAGGATTCAAGTTTCAAAGTAAAATTTCAAGACAGTGCTGGATATTTTAACATAAGTTTCAAAGTAAGCATTGGCCCTTCTAAGTAGAACATGATTCAAGTTCTCCAAAAGGTCTTGGCTTTCAAAGTAGGGTTGAGGTTTCAAAGACTTGGGTGGGCTATCAAGTCAGGGTTTGCATTTCAAAATGGGATTCTAAAATCAGATTTAGGGTTTCAAATTGTTTTAAAAACCTGGGTTAGTGCTTACATTTGAACCGAAGCATCAAAAACAGAATATTTACTCACTACAATGTAGCAATGTAACAAGAAGCATAATGCAAATATAATCTTTGTTTGCATTATGAAACCCAGTTAAAATTGTGCGTAGTCAGTCGGCCTGGGCAAATGGTGGGCAAGAGTCTCACTTTTGTCTCAAAAGTTAGAATTTATTCTCAGAATTCTCTCTTTGAAGTGAGAATTTTCTCTCAAAGTCAGAATTCTGACAACAAAGTCAGAATTTTGAAATAATAGTTGAGAATGTTGCCGACCATTTTTTTAAATTCACTGGCCCTAATCCTCTCCCGTGACACTTTTATTGTGAAGTGTGCCGTAGCGTTTCATTGTAGAAGTGGTTTCCTGTGCTGGCGGGTGTTACTTTTGCTAGTGTTGTTATTGTGATCGTGCGGGTCCACCATGGAGGAGCTGAGCGCCGTCGGCGAGCAGGTTTTCGACGCCGAATGCATCCTCAACAAAAGACTGCGAAAGGTTCGGAAAGGCGCAAAAACTGCACGATCGTCTTGCTTTGCTTTTCGGGTTCACTCGGCTTCGAGCTCACAACCTTTTGGCGCTTCTTTGTGTGCAGGGAAAGTTGGAGTTTCTGGTCAAGTGGAGAGGGTGGTCGTCCAAGTAAGTCAGGAAGACCCCAAACAATGAACATTACACCCAAAACTTCACATTCCCTCCTCGTTTTTCCTTGATCAGTTCCGCTTCATCGCAACTTTAGTGCGCTTTCGTCTTGGATGCTTGTTGTTCTTTTTCGCCACTGAAGGTCTTTTGTTCGTGTTTCAAGCATCAACTTTGCCTTTAATCAAGCTCGTTGTTTAATTCCATTTAAAGTACATGATTTTATTATTTTCAAAAGCATTCATTCATTTTCGGCTTGCATTTCTCGGGGGTTATTTTCACGAACTAAAGCCATTGCGTTTCATTCATCAGGTTGAACAGGCGGCCGTACTTGTTTTGATCCTCTTTAGACACTGATGTTTTATAAATGGAATGCCGAATAAAATGTGTAGCTAGACTAGATTAAAGGCAAACCTAAAAGAAAAAAATAGTTCATAGAAAAAAAAGTCGCATGGCTTAACTGTAATATTGTTTGAATTTAAAATTAAAACAGCAGTTCACTATTTATTATTATTATTATTATTATAGCTACTTATTCCACTTTTTAACGTTTCAAAGTAAATTAAAATTAATTTTCATCATCAAAATTGCCTCAATAATTTGTAACCATAACTGTTTTATTTCACTTTATTTTCAGCTTTTTTTTTAAACCAATTTTTTTACTGTGGGATCATAACAGCTTTTTTCCGTGTGTATAAACTAAGCTATTTTGTCAATATTTTAAAAAAGAAAATTTCTTCCGGTCAAAACTTCTGGTTTTACTCGACTTTAACAACACACATTGAGAAATATGACTTCAGTTTGTTTTCTTAAAATAAGCATTTTTTTTTTTAATTACATGACATTATTTCAATGTATCCCATTACAGCTCCTCAGGAAAAAAAAATCAGTTTGTACAGTAGGATTTATTAATATTAGTGTTATTTTCACATTTATTTACAATGGTCCTTTTGATCATGTTAGTTCCTCTCTGCCCTTTTTGGGCTGTCCACTATTCTCCACGGGTGCACACTGTTGCCTGCCTTCTGTTAGGCTCACACATCCTTTGTGTGTGCGTGCGTGTGCGTGTAATGGGTGGGGGTTAGGCTGACTGCTGATCTGGGGGGTCTTTTTCTCTTTCTTCAACAGGCTTCTACCACATGTTGAACTTGTTTTTGTGCCACATCCATTTTGTTGCATCTCAAATGAAAAAGTCAAACGCAGCAACCGGGCATACTGTGGATTTTCAAATTTCAGAAGGGTCACTTGCTTAAAAAAAAAAATGGCAACAAAAATGCAAACCGAACACTTTTTTGTGGGGGGTGGGGGCTCACAAGCCTTCTAAACCAAGTTTTCCTCTGCTCACTATTTTTAAGGTACCGATGCATGATAGGGGGTGTTGAAATTGACCCGAGAATCTCACAAGCCAACTTCAACCCATCCCCCAATTCCACATTGGAGCCTTTCACGCAGAACGACGCCGGGAAATGGCGGAACATTCCGGCATTAGTAGGCAGTGTGAAAGGGGCTCGTCTTGTGTCTTAGATTCAAAATAACTATGTGGTGGGAGAACGTGACAAATTTGATCGAAATCAGAAGGCTGGGCTACTTTTGATAAGTTATTTATTCTGATTAGATAAACGCAAAAAGTCACTTTTTTCATAATCTTTAACAAAATTCATCACAGTATTAACCTTTTCAGGGACAGATTATCATGTTATCGGATTACAGGGTGAATGGAAGGGTTAAACTACAAAAACAATCATTTCTAACCACTTGTCAAGTGTTCTTCAATCAATGAATATTTACATAGTTAGTTGCTGTAAATCAGATATTGGGTTACGTTAATATGAATAAATAAATAGTTTTCAGTTAAAACCGAAGAACAATTGAGGAAATGTTGTCTTGTTTTTCTTATGAGCACATTCGTACGAAGTTTCGGAAAATCCAACAACAGCTAGTTAAATTACTACCCCAAAAAACGTGGTAATTTCTGACTGTTGATACAACAGCAAAACATTTGGTTGTCATGTTGTCCTGAACGTTAACAAGTGCAATTAGTTTGTTCTTGTCAATGAAGTCAATTTTTATCAAGCTAGAAAATGTTGTGTTGTACCTGAACAGAAATGACTTTTCCCTCCCGTGGCTTGACTGATACATATGGTGGATCGAAAAAAAAAATCACTTATCAATATATTTTAGAAGATCAATAAAATACTGAAGGGGCTTAACCGAGGGTACCGGTACGCAGATTTCCGACAGGGATGAAGACCCCTAACCCCAGTCTAGCGCCGTTCCTGTACCTGAATCTTAGCAGGGGGTGTGGGGGGGGTGAATCGGTTTACTATTTACACACATTTTTACCTAGTTCCTGTGACATCATACCTTCAGCTGCTGAGATGCTCCACGAGGAATTCTTTATATTGATGTTCCGACATCTTTGTTCATTCCAGACACAACAGCTGGGAGCCCCAAGAGAACATTCTTGATCCCAGACTTCTGGCGGCCTTCAACAAGAAGTGAGTTTCTTTCGAATGTTTGCTATTCGTGGAATGTCCGGATAGTTATATCTTCAACTGCGTGTATCGCAGGGAACAAGAGAAGGAGCTTCTGATACGGAAACGTGGTAAAAGGCCGAGAGGACGTCCACGCAAAATACCCGTAAGGTTCAACAACTTTTCTTGGTGTCGCTGGGAAACATTTGACACATTTTGCTCTCCCTTAGGAAACTGTTCTGGAGGCTGCAAAGTCCAACAGCTCTTCCTCCGGAACCTCCTCTTCATCGTCCGATTCCTCGTCTTCGTGTTCCTCCTCGTCCTCGTCCTCCTCGGAAGACGAGGACGAGGAGCAGCAGGCGAGCCCCGGAGTCCGAATGCGAGACCTACACCCCAACCCCGTCCCCCAGAAGAAAGCGCAGATTGTGGTGGCCAAGCAGGAGCCGCCGAAAAAACGCGGTCGCAAGTCTCTGAGCAAAGGCCTTCGGAAAAGCCTCAAGAAGGATTCCGATCTTCCGGGTGCCATCAAGAAACCGGTTCACCTGGCCAGCTTCGCCTTCATGGGTTTCCATCGGGGCTCTGCGGGATGTCCCAACCGCAGTCCCCCAACCCACGGGGGAACTTCCAGAAACTCCTTGAGCACAGTGGGATCCGCCAGATCAATCCCCCCATCCCCCGTCCCGCTGATGAAATCCAGCCCGGGCAGGAATGTCACAGAGGGGAAAGTGCCCACCCCCAGACCGGATTCGTTCAAACCGAGAGGCATGGAGGCTTTCACCTCCAACACAACCAAACAGCACCTCCCAGGATCCCCCCAGCGCACCACAAACTCCCCCAGTGTACAAAAGGCTCATGTGCTACAGAGAATAACAAACGCGAAAGCCATGGCGGCCCAAGCGGCAAAGAACATCACGACCAATCAGCCTCTCAACCTTCACAACAAAGTCACGCAAGGCAACAAATCGTCTGGTTCCGGTTCCAGTCCCGGTTCAGCTTTGAGAAACAAAACCAACCAAAACCAGGAATACAAAACCCCCCAGAGTCCCGCTTCCCCGGGAGGAACCCGGAAGTCTGCCGCAGGCAAAGACTTGACGGAGATCCAGACCTACAGGGGGAAGCTGGAGAAAGGCGAGGTCCATAAATCCGAGAACCACCTGGAAAGACCAGCTTGTAAAGACGGCAAGATGAGCACAGGCGAGGACGAGAGCAGCTCCGATTCAGACCGGGACTCGTCAGATGCCGGCCGGGAGCCCTTGGCGGTGGTCCACAACCAAGACTGGAAGCCCACCCGCAGCCTGATAGAGCACGTGTTTGTCACGGACGTCACCGCCAACCTGGTCACCGTCACGGTGAAGGAGTCACCCACCAGCGTTGGATTCTTCAGCATCCGGAACTACTGACTGGACCTCACAAACTTCACCTGACCATTGCATCAGGACCCTCCGTGATTGTTGTAATTTATTTCCTTTTTTTTTTTTTTTTGATACTACGATACCTTAAGTGTGTTTTAATCTGCCTCCACTGTAGTCCAATTAAAAATCTGAGGACCGAGGGTGTAGACAGCCCAACAGGACAACCACAGATAGTTGCCAGATGAACCTTGCTGCATTTTTTCAGGCCGTTGGCAAGTGGGAAATATCTCAGTCGGAACTTACAGGGTCCCGCCTCAAAATGTTCCAGTCAAAGTTTTGGGATCTGACCGTCGGCTGTTGACGAAGAGACCATGACACTCAACTGCATTTTAATCGCAAGTCACTGCAGTCCAGACCAGACCAAAATGAAATTATTAAGGAGATAGAAAGTAGAACAACAATCCGAAGCTAGTCTGTGAATCTCCCGCTTTGTTTGAGACCACCAGGAAATCGTAAATATCTCTACAAGTTTACAAGCGTCCGACCTAAAAAGTTTCCAGTCCAACGTCGATCAAAGAAAACAATTCAACCATCTGTGGTTTTAGCAATCCACAATAGGCCGCACCAAATTTTTTGGGGGGACCAATCATGTGAACCGCTTTCTGCACTCAAGACCACTGGGGAGGTTGGAAATATTTCACCGGGGAGCTTCTACGTTCCAAGATTTCAACTTCCCTCATGTCTTCCCTTATGTCTACATCCATTGAAGTTCTCTGGTCTTCCTCAAGCTCTCTTGCCTGGCAGGCACAAAAGCGATAAATGATCACCAACAACTCGTTTTACAGTGCACCCTTAAGAAGCTGTGAACGAAGGCAAGCGCTGTGAATACTTTCCGGATGCACTGTTTGTGGTCTTTTTTGCTCCGATTTTGGCACGTAGGAACGTCTTGGCCATGCACTTTTTACCTGTCGCAAATTTCCCGCTTCTTCGTTTTTCGTCGCTTTCAATCGATAGTTGACATACTCGTCCTTGGAACTGTTTAGTAATACGTCATCTCGAGTGTTTTTTTGTATGAGCTACCTCTGTTTTATTTGGCTACTGTTTGCTTGCATGTAAATCCAGGGCGAACTCGTCTGCAAGTCTTATTGCTGTTTCTCCAAATAGGGTTGACAAAATTCCAGACATTTTCAAAGGTGGAACTCCATGGAAGTCATGGGAAGAAAAGGGAACGGACCAGGAATTTACTAAATAGGCAACTGTCAGTTTCGCAGGGCAAGGTGACGCATGCTGAGAGACAGACGGAGTGTCTAATCCTTTCTCAGATAACACTTTTTCTACATATTCAGCAGAAATTGTGTTCGGCAGGTCCCCATGGGGGCAAGCGGTTGCACAATAAAGCACCAGATGTCTCTGGAGCCACTTGGGCTGTTTTGCTTTGTTTTCTGGCAGCTGCTGACATCTCTTTGGGATCCTTTTCACGGTGTGACGTAACACGAAACAATGCCAGGCCCCCTGAGAAAAGGGGTCCGGCCACTCTGCGTTTTCACTCAGCCCTTCAGACTAATCCGTTCAACCGAGCTGCTGTTTTTTTTTTTTTTATACGGGACAGAATGATGATGACCAGGCCAGAGGAGTGTGGAGATGATTGAATGGACAAATACAGGAACTTCATCTCCGCATCGTTTCCAAGTTGCATCAAACAATGATGCTCATGGACCGACTTTTTTAATTGTTCCGAAGAAGCTAGAGGGGAAAAAAAAACGTTTTATGTGCATTTAGAGCAATTAAACTTGTAAAACACAAAGGAGTATCAGGGCTCAAAATCGTATGATAGAATTTAAATTAAGACAAGTCTGAATTTTTAAAATTAATAGTCAACCCATGAATAATGATACAGATATTTGAAAAAATCTGCAATATAACACTTTATTATTATTGAGAATAGTCATATTTTGGGAAAGAACCTTTTCTTTAAAAAAAAAAAAAGTATAGTATTTTGGCAATTATGCACTTTTTTTGTTGCTTAGATATTCCAACCGTTTGGGGATCACATTGATTATGTCATATACATAAAAACCACATTATCAGTGTTTAGCCTTTTTGCAAAAAAAAAAAGGTTTTACTGAATATAATAGTACAACATTTTCACAATAAAAGCATTTTTCCCCCTCAAAAGATTAGGACTATCGTCACAGTATATATATTTAGTTTCTTTCCAGAATGGCCCCGATAGTCCTTCGTAAGAGATCGTCCTCTTCATTTTAGAAAAATTATTTATTGGAGGCTTGTCTTTGATACTCGTATTTTCAAATAAACGCTGTAGCCTCATGTACGACTTGTGATGTTTGTGTCACATTAAGTGTTCAAAAACAACATCCACTTCCACTCAACTCCTTTCACAAATCCACGACTACATTATGGGGTTGGGGATGATATTACAAGGCTGTATTTCATAGAGAGGAAAATGTCAAATTGTCCACCTTTATTCTTGGAATTTTGTCCTGAAAAATATTCTATATTCTTTACTCGAGTAAAATGAAAGAAAAACACACCAATTCTGATATTACAGTCCAACTTTTTTCCACTCAGAAAAGAATCGACAACAAAAAAACAACTTTGAAAAAATACACGTTTACACTTTATTATTGTAATATTTTGACTTTGATCGAGAACATGTATGATTTTTACATTGACGGTAGATTTTTGTGGAAGCTAGCTGAGGCACCGTGTTGTCTCATCACAGGAAAGGTCTTGGGCTTGTGAGGAGGGTCATTGCCACTAGATGGCGCTGTTGGAATTCAAATCAATGATTTCCTTTTTTTATGCATTAAAAATGAAGACTTGCCAGCGGCGTCTTAATGTAAAATATCTTGAGATAACTTCTGTTGTGAATTGGCTTTATAGAAATAAAATTGAACTGAACATAAGCTGAATACAAACATGTATTCCGGGAGATGACAGTTTAATTCTGAAATAATAATTGTACATTGACACCAAAATGGTGTTTGGACTTGTGAAATTGACGCAAACAAGACAAAGACATATTTCACCGCAGTCCTCATTTTGTCTTGGAAAATTTAACAGTTCACATTCATTTCGTTCTTTCATCAGAAATATTTCACACAATTCTCCAACCTCAATGCCTATAAAAGTATTTACACAAGCAAAGTGTGCTTTTCCTCAAATATTTTTGTGTAAATGGAATCACGAAAAATTATGTTGCTCACGTTCTTGTTCTCTGTCATAGTTTTTCTTATGGAAGTAAAACTCATACAGACGCCATTCAGCGCTGCTTTTGGCTTATAGCGACATCTTGTTGGATGGTTGATGAACTGCATCCTCTTCAAATCTATCTACTCCGATGGCATAATTAATGAATCACATTGATTTTTAGATGCCTGGTTTGAAAAGGGAGCTCCTTTAGGGCAAACACGATTTTGTCGATGTGTAAGAAACACATGATCAACAAACAAAATGTATACGGACGCATCTCAAATATGGATTAATCACTAATAATCAGTGATACTTGAAATCATCAGTATGCCACAAACTCTGACTCTCAAACCTGTTCGAAAATAATTTAAACTCATCTCAAAACATTACTTTAGAAATTGATTAAAAAAAAAAAAGCACCATAAACGTGCACATACATATGGCAAAGACGCACGTAACTTGTAATAATTCAAGCCTGGCGGCAGTATTTAAATTTATTGCGATGCACCACAATGTTGTGTTGTACATAAATATTAAATCGAAATTCATTTGACTGCAGAAGAAGTGGAGTGCAATGAGTAAAATGAACTCTGGACTTAAGAAGCACTGGAAGCCAAGGAAAGTGTGTGTGTGTGTGTGTGTGTGTGTGTGTGTGTGTGTGTGTGTGTGTGTGTGTGTGTGTGTGTGTGTGTGTGTGGGTGGGTGGGTGTGTGTGTGTGTGTGTTTTAAAAGTCGTGTCTGTGATACATATCTGCATCGTAGTATTTGGTCACCACCACCCTGTTGGCAAACTGCCGGCCACTCAGCGCTTGCATGGCTTTCTGACAGTCGGACGTTGACACATACTCCACGAAGATCTGCAAGAGAGAGATCCTGACACACATTGGCATTCACACACACGAAATCAATCTCTCTCTCTCTCTCTCTCTCTCTCTCTCTCTCTCTCTCTCTCTCTAAGGAAGCGCTTGAGGGGACAAGGCAGTCACAGTTGACAGAGCCCCCCCCCCCACCCACACACCCACACACACACACACACACACACACACACACACACACACACAACTGAAAAGTCTCTCAACACATCTCTCATAACATACACGTCGCTCTCTCAGTGTCCACACACACACACACACACACACACACACACACGCACACACACACACACACACACACACACACACACACACGGCACGTAGACGTTGTCACACCTTGCCGCAGCCCGGCACGTGGGCCCCGTGAAGCGGCCGCGGTATCTGGATGGAGCGGACGTTGCCATATTTGCAGCACTCCTGGCGGATGTCGTCCAGGATCTCCTGGTAGTCATTGTCGTCGGCCAGCTCGTCAGGCAGCACCATGTTGAGCAGGCACAGAACCTGGGTGGCCGCCCCCTCGCAACTCTGCACGCGCTGTAGACCCGGAACTTGAAGCAGCACCGGCGTCTCAATGACGGACGCCTGCTGGGGGCGCAAGAGGGCGGGAATGATTTTCGGTTGCTCGCACCAGGACAATGAACTAATGTACAAATAGTGAGTGAAAGGGCGCAGTCACGAATTGCAATGGCTTACCAGGCCGGCGTTTTTGGCTCCCACGCTGGCTCTTTGCACGATGAGCTTCTTGTCTCCCAGCTGCATGCCATTGAGTCCGGACACCGCCTGGCAAGAAGAACACGCCTGGCATCCCGCACTTTGCACGACACATCACGTCGCGCCGGCAGCTTTCGCTTACCTGGTCCGTGGCACCCACATCCACGTACTCGCAGAAGGCGTAGCCTTTGGACAGCGAAGTGGCGCTGTCCTTCACCAGGTTGAAGGCTTTGAGAGGCCCGAAGGAAGTCAGCAGCTCCTTCACCTGCAGACAACAAACACGTGTCATTGCTTTGAAATGTCCATTTAATCTCAAACCACCAGACACTTTTCATCAAGTGTTCAAGGTACTCCAGTGGTCTACTGGACCTCGATGGTTGATGAAAATGTTCACCAAAAATGGTGCATCTATCTCGGTCCACTATGGAGTGTCATGATTAGGGTACATTTCACCATTTCGCTTTGCACCCTGAGTGTCCGAGGAGCTCCAAAAAGAAAAAGAGGGGGAGGGGCCAGAAATGACTTACTTACCGGTGATGTTCTACATGACACGTGAGGATGATGAAGAGGTTGGTGATGATGAGGATGACGATAAGGATGATGATGAGGATGATGATTCCGGTCAACCAAAATATAGACTGGGGGAACACAAGGAAACAAGACTGAGTGAATGTGATGTGAAGTCTTACTAAGTCTGTAAGTCTTAATCATCTGTACTTGTCTAGAGTGTGAGAACTTTTTGCCACCTGTACCTGGTCGTCGTTCAGATAGTTGGGCAGACCGCCGATGAAGAGCTTGTGAGGAGAATCGGGAACCACTGTGGACACGACACCTGGACGCAAATACACAACTCAAGTGTCAACAAACCACTGAGACATCGTGGCGTGTGTCGTCCAGCGCAACCCACCTGGCACATGGAAGGCAGGCTGCTCCGAGAGGCCAGGGAGCGGCCGGTAGTCATGAGGCCGGCGAATTTTCAACGACTGACCTTGGAAAACAATCCCGTCAAAGGCCATGGCCTGCGTGGTCTCGTCTACCGAGCGTAACTGCAACGCAAACACCCCCCGCAAAAAAAAAAAAAAAAAAAAACAAAAAAAAAAAAAAAAAAAAACGGCTTCATGTTAAACTACGGTAACAAGAGTCAAATGTAAACTTGTCATTATGGACAACCGCCAAAGTCAAACACAGTTTATTCTATGGTGGCGGTTCAAGTTCTTTCCGATCTGCAAACAGATTTGATCTGTTCGCATTTGTGGATGTGGTCGATATTTAATTAAATGTTTTGCTCATATACGATTTCAATGTCAGACACACGTATTATACTCATGTCATACATAACTTGAAGGCACATACTCATGGCACAACCACACACTCATTTTTAATAAATACACTCTGTCAGACACACACACACACACACACACACACACACACACACACACACACACACACACACACACCACATTCAGATTTCGCATTAGCATTATCACAAGTAACACAATTACATTTTTGCTGTGACTGACAAGTTGTCAATCATCTATATCTATGGTGTGCTTGAGGACACATCCATAGCGGGCACACCCCCGCAGTTGGACCTCTAAGAAGGCGAAGTTCTTGTCCTGGTTGATCTGCACAACAAGGACAGGATTGGTGGAGGCCTGGGAGAGGCCAGCCAATCTCATCTGAGCATTGAAGAATTCGGCCATGGACTCCTGCGCAGGAACAAAAGGCCCAATCAAGACGGCCGCCAAGGCATGCTTTCGTCTGAATGGTATGAGTATCGCGGCGACCTCGGTGACGCCGAAGGGAATATTCCCCACGTAGAGGCGGCGGGCTTGTCTGGTCATCTGATTTCCCAATATGGCCACCGGAGGCGGCGCCACGGTCACGCTGGGCAACACGGTGGTGGCAGCAGTGGCAGACGTCGCCAGCAGGGCCGTGCTCGAGATGTGACCGGCTGCTGCAAAACAACAAAAACGCAATGATTTCAATTCTCGACAACTGTGGTGGGAAACGTTGGTGCTTGCAGGCATTCATACGTCACCTACAACTGATTTCCATATTTCCATGGCCATGTATGAATATCCATAGATGTGATCTAATCTGCAACACGGCGTCTACCTTGCATGGCTTTGTACTGCAGAGGAGTAATGTGCTGAAAGCCCGGTGGAGCCACGTCCCAGTACTTGCACGGCTTTTTCTTCTTTGTTTTCCTCGGAGAAGAATGTCTGCCCAAAAGAAAGGAAGAGTCACCATCAGTGTCAGTGTCTTTTCCACTCATGCCTTTCTTCAAGGTATTGATTGGCTGAAAGGGTCTTTCAGTTAATACTAATAACACCACCAACCCTTTTCCAAGCTAAAATGAGGGTTAAGCGATTCATTGGTTTCTTTCCATTTCTTTTTATTTGTTTGATTTTATTAATGATTCTTCTGTAGCTGAAAGCGAAGCTACGCTGATGTGCACTGCTCACACTAAGCACATGGCTGTGGAGCGGGAGTTAGTTGACAACATAGCCATTTGGTCACTCTATTTAGCTATTTTCCTGACTTTTATGTTTTTCAAAATTAGCAACTAATGCCTTTAATTCCTGAAAAGAAACAGACAAGACGACCGTAGTCATTTCCACATTGCTTTGCCTATGATAAGAAATGAGATTGGCGGAAGGTAATCAATCACACTTGAACAATTCTAAATTGAAACCTGTGTTTCTTGTGGTCTTGTGAGGAACTGCGCCGGTCTCGAGTCTTCCAGTCTCGACTGCGACTCCGTTTGTCCCTCCGCTCTTTGCTCCAGCCACCGTGTTTGTCGCCACGACCAGTCGAGCCACTGCGACTCCTCTTTTTGTGTCTTTCTCTTTCCCTCTCTGGAAAAAAAACAAACGATCGGACTCATACACTTGCTCAAAGCGACATACAAACCATGACTGAATTGTGGAGGTATGGTGGATATAACCATAAATTACGTATACTAATAATTAGTAAATTACTATACATTATTTATGAGCAAAATGACTAATAAAAGAATGATATTAATGCATCATAAACACTCTTTCATTCGGAATTCATTTCAATTCTGAATTGAAGCTCTAAAAATAATTGCTGTCCTTCACAGAGGTGAAGATATGTAATAGAGCTCGTTTTCCGTTTTCCTGAGGTCGGTGTCCAAATTTAGTAGCAAGTGAAATGAATGGTTACAATTGCTTATTCTGGATTTTCTAGAATTACTGGTGCCGAATTTAAATTAGAACATTCCCCAGTTTGAATGTTGAATAGGTTTTGTGTACATGTCACCAGACACTACGAGAAGCGGTGACTGCCAATGTTTAAAATAGGTTTTCTATGTAGTTTGGCGTCAAGCACGTAAATGAATGATAAAAGTTGCTAACTCTGAATGTTATTGCATCGTTGGAGCCGAACTGAAGATGGATCCCTATGTAGTCTGAAACCATGTTAGGTCTCGTCTAGATATCAGCCGTCACTGTGACAGGAGACGAATACGGTTAAAAAGAGATCATTTTATCGATGTGGTTTGGCGTCTCGCGCAGGTGGAAGGGGAAGGGATGCGTCGCGTTCAGGAGCAGAGCTCGCTTGACGACGTCGGCATGTCTAAAAAGAAGCCAAAATGTCGCGTTCGGAGCCAACAAAGCTGACTCACAGCTTACCTCATCTTAACTCCCGCTAGCCCAGCACATCCATTAATAAAATAAAATAAAGCAGGAGGCTTCAAACGTCGCTAGCTTGTCGACGCCCCCCACCCCCAAAAGACGAAACCGCCAGCCCACACCGGTGTCGTTTTTTTTTTCCCTTTACCTTGACGGTTCGCGCTCAGCTGCTTCTCAAATTCTTCGAAATCCGACATTTTACCACGACATGAGGTGCTTGATTTGCGGGACTCGTCGGATAAGAAGGGGGAGGACGAACATTAATGACAGTCCGAGCTGTCAAATGCAAGGAAAACCATCAACTCTTTCCTCCAGGTAACCTCCAGCAGTACTAATGGACACATGACTTCCGGTCCTGTACTTCAAAATAAAAAAAAATAGTTAGAGCAAAGACAGAGTGATCAAATTTCTATAATACTGTATTACCTTGAACTGTAAAATAATGCGAACCAGGTCAATTAAATTATTAGTGCTAACCATCCAATCATACACAATTTATACAACACAGAACGTTGCACATTTTTATCCTGAAAATGCTCATGATGAGACTTTGATAAACCTAAACTTGTTTATTCAAAAATGCAGATATTACAGTGGAAAAATCGTCGAGGTGAAAGACCAGGGTACTTGTATTTGGCCAAGTATACATGATTGAATAGTACAGTGCTTGTCGAACGTATTACACTTAGTACCAAAATATTTAGCTCTTCAAGTACCAGCATCATTCTTGAAGATTAAATGCAAATACTAAAAAGTTAAGCACAACTGAACAGCAGACAATTTTTGACATACCACTAGAGGGAGCCCACATGGCACTAATGGGACTAGTAATACACTTCACACGAATCATGGGATTTGTGGGTTTCCGTGGCTTGGTGTTGTATTTATGCATCCGCCAGTGACAATGTGATGGAATTTCTACGGGCGCTCAGTTTTTGTGAGATAACAGTGTTAGCACTTACTTGATTGCTGGGTTGTGAGGTCTGACCAAGCAATCAGGGAATGGAAAAAAAAAATCATTGTTGTACGTGATAACGTAAAGTAAATTTAAAATGTGATTGGTTCAAGAAACCGTCCCATTGCTCATATGGGTGAAGTTCCATAACCCAGCACCTCTGAGTAGGAGGAGGGTCCTGGGCAGATTACATTGACATGGACACACAGAGAAGCTGAGAGCGGTCCCTCTAAACATAACACGCTGACAACACGTGTGGAAAGAAAGTGGCAGCTGCGCTGCTATTAAAAGAGCATCAACAGCAGCAGGAGGTTAGCAGCAGGCAAGCAGATCTCAGCGGTGTGAAGCAGCTCAAGTGAGAACACCGGGATTCCACATTCACGCACACACGCTCACAGTGAGTATGAGCTATCAGTTTGTTCTCTTTGGATGAAAGTCGAGTTGATGTGCTTCCGGTTTCAGCTTCCAAACAGCTGCCCTACTTCTTCTACTATCCTGTGTGACTTTGCTAATTTTGTTTCAAGGACACTTGATTTTTACGAGGTCATTGTAAGACTTTACAAGATGGACAAAAGGGGCATTTTGGTCAAAAGGAAACAAGAGTTGAAAGTTATCTCTGGCTTGTTTTCGACCAGAAGTCAGGCAGTAAATAGGTCAACCAATTAGGTTTGCGGATTTTTGATTGGGTGAAAGTTGAGTTTTGCATTCATCTTTAAAATGTCGAAAAAGTATTTTTTTATTCTCTTGTCAAAAACTTGTTGGAATGTTTTTGTGTTGTTTGTTTTTCAGCCGTGTCGGAATATAAGTCGTTACAAAAAAACAAAAACAAAAAAAAAGCCCAATGGATGCCAATGTAACGGAGGTGGACGACGATTGGGTAGGAAAGCTTTGGCGTCCTTCAGCATTGTGGCTACCCAATTTGCACACTGAACCAAATCTGCTTTTCTTAGGCAATGTATCTGTGACAAGATGCTGACAATGTCCATTGTTTGTCTGTATGTGCTTGATATTGAATGACGACCAGTACATCGGTTGTGTTTTTGTTGGTTTTTTAACACTGATATTATTTGTATAAATGTTATTTTGAATATATTGTCTTACAAGCAATAGTTTTCTTTTTGGCTTGTGCTCGACCAGAAGTCAGACAGTAAATAGGTCAACCAATTAGGTTTGCAGATTTTTGATTGGGTGAAAGTCGAGTTTTGCATACATATTTAAAATGTCGAATAAAGTATTTTTTCACTCTCTTGTCAAAAACTTGTTGGAATGTATTTGTGTTGTTTGTTTTTCAGCCGTGTCGGAATATAAGTCGTTACAAAAAAACAAAAACAAAAAAAAAGCCCAATGGATGCCAATGTAACGGAGGTGGACGACGATTGGGTAGGAAAGCTTTGGCGTCCTTCAGCATTGTGGCTACCCAATTTGCACACTGAACCAAATCTGCTTTTCTTAGGCAATGTATCTGTGACAAGATGCTGACAATGTCCATTGTTTGTCTGTATGTGCTTGATATTGAATGACGACCAGTACATCGGTTGTGTTTTTGTTGGTTTTTTAACACTGATATTATTTGTATAAATGTTATTTTGAATATATTGTCTTACAAGCAATAGTTTTCTGAGACGTATGTACGCATGCGGCAGATTTGGTTCCACAAGCAATTTGGGTTATGTCAGCCATCCCACCTCCACTGTCACGAACATGACATGCCTGCGGAAAGGATGTGGAGACATACTTTCACGTCTCATGTCATGACGAGCTTCTCGGCTGAGAAGCAGTTTCATTATTACAATTAGTGTGTAGCCTCCACTTCAAGTGATTCCCAACCACCTTCAAGTATCTATCTATGCAAATGATGAATGGCACAATTGAAGTAATTGACATCAATTGAATCGGCTCCAGCACACCCGCGACCCAGGTGAGGATAAGCGGATTAGAAAATGGATGGATGGATAGGCCACACCCCCACTATTTGCAGGTGATAGCGGCCAAGGCCTATTTTCGCAAATAGCGAAAACACGTACATAATTGTCAAGCCCCAAAAAAGATATATTTCCCAATAATTTTTCATGTCAATAAAGGTTGGGAACCACTGCTTCATGTCATCCATTCATTCCAAGTTGTACTCAGAATCATTTCACCCATTCAAAACAGCACTTGCTTCTTTTTTAGACATTGCTGAAGGGGATGGGAATGGAGCCCGGGTGGATCACCACAGTCCTGCTGGTTCCGTGCGCGGTGATGCTGGCAGCTGGATTGTTGCATGTGTACTCCCTGGTGTCGGGCCTGCTGTCCAAAAGCCCCGTGCGCAATAAGGTGCTGCTGCTCAGCGACGCTTTGTCCACACTTGGAAACGGTAACAACCCAGTCATGACTTGACTTGCTTGATTAGTTTTCCTCAGTAACTTGAAAGTTGAAGGGTAAGACTTGAGACTCATGATTGACACACATAGGAAGTGAAACTCTGCTGTCTCCAACTTCTTCTTGTTTTGTTCTTGGTTGCTTCCAATGTGACATCTGCGCTCATCTGCATGTGGGTTGGTCCAAAGAATGTGCCACCATTTTCCACAAGGGCGGCGCCAGGTTGATCCTGTGCGGCAAAAGCTGGGAGAAACTCCAGGAGCTCTCGGACAAGTTACTCAATGCTTCCGACCCAAGCGTGGTGAGGAATGGACGCCCTTTGAGCATTTATTCCAGAACCAGTCTTACTAGTCATCGTTTTTCCACTAATAGGCCAGAAGGGGCATTAGCAGTAGCCGTAGTTCTGGCCTGTTCATAGTCTTAAAATCAAGGACATGGAATAAAATGTACAAACAATTTTCATCAAGCATTTTGAGCATATATTCCATGTTCCCCAAATCCATTTTAATATCCAAATACTACTGTGCACTTTAGCCTCCCTAAAGGAACAACGTTGGCATACTAGTAGAATTTTGGCACAGTCATAGTTACTGAAAGTCGAGCAAAACAGCACTAGTTAATAACTATGTGCTACTAGCACTCGTGGTGTCATTAGAAAAGTCTCCTAGTTATGACGTACTATTCTACAAGAAATAGGTTAGTAGCAGCACCAATAGTGGAAAAAAATGTGACTAGTGAGACAAATTGATTTTACTGAAATTTTCTTACCCGTGAAGACAGGATCTACTTGCACATGGACCCTAAGTGTGGTAGCTTTGATAAGAAGACAGCTAATGCATAACACTAGTTAGGCCTACCACTCTTACTTGTGCAGGACAGCAGTTTACTAGTATATTTTATTGTGCACTAGTAGGCCAAAAGTAGTTGAAAATTACTCGTAAAATACATTTGTTTTACAGTGCATGAAATTGCCTTGCTAATTGCTGTTGTAGCCTTTATTTGATATCCCTGATATCCAGCTAGTATGTGTACTAGTATATTAGTATACTAGTATGTTCTTTATGGGCTGTCCCATGTCGCAATTTTTCTTTCCCTTTCTGGTGGTGAAGCCACACAGTTGAACCCCCGTTGTTCGCATTGGTCAGCAGACGTTCCCTCCTAAACTGGTGCTTCTCGATTTCGGGGACATGGAGTCGCTTCCTGAAGCGATATCCGAGATCCTGGAATGTTACGGCTACCTGGACATGCTCATCCTCAACAGCAGCATGAAGCTCAAAGCCCCCGCTCACACTTTGTCTCTGGAGCTGGACAAGCTACTCATGGACAATAATTACTTTGGCCCGGTCACGCTGACTAAAGGTAGCCACGGAAATGCTTGTCACACACACACACACACACACACACACACACACACACACACACACACACACACACACACACACACAAAAAGTGTGTGTCATTGTGAGGTTTGTGTGTTCCAGGTGTGCTGCCCTCCATGATGTCCCGGCGCTCCGGTCACCTCCTGCTGGTCAACAGCATCCAGGCAAAACTGGCGGTGCCTTTTCGCACTTCTTGTGAGTTGACATCTATGCTGGCCGGTTGAGCAATTATTCCATGTATTTGATATCCAGCAAGGTCCATGTAATAGTGTGACTTTTGCCCGCACAACTAAGACAGTAGGCACCTAACACCCATTCCAAAAAACTTTCAACCCCAAGCAAACGATTTGTGTGTGTGTGTGTGTGTGTGTGTGTGTGTGTGTGTGAGAGAGAGAGAGAGAGAGAGAGAGAGAGAGAGAGAGAGAGAGAGAGAAAGAGAGAGATTTTGTGTGTGTGAAGCATAAATGTTGTTTTGTCCAAAATGACATCTCATCCAATCACACCTGGCAGATGCCGCCTCCAAGCACGCAGTTCAGGCCTTCTTCGACTGCCTTCGTTCCGAGGTGGAGGAGTTAGGGGTTTCAGTCAGCACCATCAATGTCACTTTCATCAGTTCACATGCGCCGTCTGGGAAGCAAAACGACACGGCGGCCAAGTCCTTCTGGTCAGGTCAGGTTTGAAAAATGACACACAACGACTGTGTTCCCCCGCTATGGCGGTTCCATTGGTCAAGATCCCCGCTATTATCGTTTCTGTCGTCGATTCTGGAGTAGTACAGCGCCATGTCTTGCTGTTCTATCTTTGCACAGATTTGTACACAAAGAAGCCACCGGGCTTTTCTACACGTGAGGCAGCCAGTGAGGTGGCCAAGACTTTGAGCAACAAGAGAAGGGAGGTCTTGATGGCCCCCTCACTGCCAAAGGTGGCGATCTACGCACGCTCCTTCTTCCCCAACTTCTTCTTCGCCGTCATGGCAGCCGGAGTGAAGGATGCCACCAACACTAAAATGTAGTCCTGCACTATTCTGGAAAGGATTGAAGATTGAGTTTTCAAAATGTTTTGTTATTACAGAAGCGTGGAACTGCCAATGTGGGGCAAACATTTTCGACTGGGTTATGTCGTACTGCAAAGTCGTTCGATAAAGTCGTTTGAATGTATTGATTAAGTCGTCCTTTGAACATATTGATAAAGTTGTTTGAAAGTATTGATAAAGTTCAAATATATTGGTAAAACGCAGGCTAAATGATGAAAACAGAGCATTTATTCCTCTAAAGCTACAGGATATTACGCACAATTCATACCCTGTGGTATTATGGGGAAAAAATGCTGTGTTTTTAGAATTTTTTTCCAACACGTTCAACCGTATTTAACCAAATACGTTAGAACGACTATCAATACGTCCAGACAACTTTACCAACTCGTTCGTCAGACTTTGTAGTACATTTTAAACAACATTCAAAAATGTTTACTCGACATGAGCAATTCCACACTTCCTACGTTATCATGCGTGTTAGTAGTGTGTTTAATTTAAATTAAAGTTATACATTGGTTAGCATGTCTGCCCCACAGTTCTGAGGTTCTGGATTGGAATATTCCTGTGTGGAGTTGCGAGTTTGACTGGCGAGCAGGCCATTGTTTCTCTGGGTGGTATTACATGAGGAATATAAAGTAAATAAAGTATTTGTGCAAAAATACTGGTCTTTTGTTAATTATTGTTTTACTTTATGTCTGCTAGCTGGCTTTTGGCGTCCTCTAGTGGCGACTCGAAAGCGACACGTCTCTACTTGCCAGTGGTCCGTTCCGAACCCCCAAAAATGTGGCTTAAAATATTATCCAGACTCACCGAGTTCAAACCTTTGAGGGTGACTCCCTGCAGGTTGACTTCCAACGGCGGGCTGACGGTGGAACACGACCGACAGAACCGGCGCTTCGTCGTTTCCCCGTGTAGCGGGACCGGTAAGTGCTGATGCCGTGTTCGAAGCTTCTTGTGCGGTTGGGTCAAGTACGCGAGCCCGGCGTCCGCCAGCGGCGCAGTCGAAGTCTCCGGTGCGCACCCGAACAAGATTTCCTTTAGAATACTGTCATTTAACGTGCCTTTGCCTGAATCAAAAATAGACTCGTCACATATGAACACATTTGAGAAAACATATTATTATCGTATTTGTTCAATAGTTCGGCATGGGCTTTATTCATCAAAGTTTAATATTTTCATTCTTATTTGCCCAAATAAGTCTGTCCGGTGACCGCAGACACGGAAATGCTTGGTTTAAAACAGCATTTTTCTAAAAGAGTTTTGGTTCATTCGTTTAGTGGTTTATGCTTAAAAGACAAGGGTTTGACTGATGTCCACATCAATTTTAGGTGACATTGAGTAAATCAAACACTGTCGTCTCAGATATGAATTCGTTTTAGTAAATATAATTTTGTCAGAATCATTTAATCGTTTGGCATGTGTGTTATTCATCAAAGCTGAAGATTTTCGAAGTTATTTGCCTAAATAAGCACATATGTAGCATGACGAGAGACATGACAGCTTGGATGGAAAACAGCACTTTTCTTGCAGAGGTTTTAGTTGAGCCTTTCAATAGTTTGTCAATACTTAAGCATTTTAACGCCAATGAGTTATTGAACTTTGAATGCATTTGCTTCTGGGCTTCTGTTGTCTTCATGTGAACTTTGACCTCAGGAGTCAGCGAGAGTGCCATACTCACCTACCGATTCACATCGGCTAATGAGGTGGATCTAGTGTCCACCTTTGTCCCGGAGGCTTGTCGAGGTCAAGGGGTGGCCGCGCTCCTGTCAAAGGTCACGGAGCAGCACTCACGAAAAGTGTTTTCCATTTCAAATGACGGCAAACCACAGCGGGATCACGTTAACATTGACTTGTTTGGTGTTTTTTGTTGACAGGCTGCCCTTGACTTTGTGCTGGAGGAAAAGCTGAAGGCTTGCGTGTCCTGCTGGTACATCAAGAAGTACATGGAGGATCACCCTCATCATCACAATTATAAAGAGATTCAAATCAGATGACGACGCAGTGGTCAAGTATTGTTAGCCTGAGAAATAGAGCAATAAAATTTAAGTTATATCCGAATAGATTAATATATGAGTAATTGTGCATCAGCGTTGATTTTTTTAATTATTCCTTTCTTTCTTGATTAGCTTTCTACAATGTTTCTGTTTTGTGTGTATATTTTCTTAAAATCCCAGAATGATGTTTAATAATATAAATAAATAAATTTCACAAATAATTGTTCATGTCATTTTTAAAAATTGAAGAGTTGATTAAATAATCGATCAAGGGCCTTAAAATAAAAATAAACATGAAAAAAGAACTTAAATCATATTTCTTGCATGATGCACATGTCGCAATGTCCTTCAGGTGTCATATTGGACATTTTAGCAACAGAATGAACTGCAAATTATCTTGAGTGTAACAGGCAGTGTGTTGCCCTCTTCTCAAAAAGATTTTCGGTCAGTCATAGTCATCATCATCATCATCATCATGTTCTTCGTCTGCCACATGTAGACAGGCGTGTGCAACAAGCGTGGTGAAAGAGGCGGCGCACTGTAGCTGAGCATGAAGACACCGCTGGGCTTTCTCCTGCCGCCTCTTAAGCGATCACATGGGCAAGATTTGATGAGATGCATGTCGTCTCAAAGCCGAGCGGGTTACATTATGATACACACATACACGCACATACACGCAAATATATCCCTGCATTTGATTTTTCAATCCAACAGTCAACCGGGGTCGAGGAAAGCCGCCCCATCGAAAAGTGTTCCAGTGGGCCACCGGCTGATCTTCCAGGCACAGCTGGTCACCAATGAGCATGCAAATCAAGTCCAAACCTTCAACTTTCAACAAAGTCCCAAAGGTAGTCATTTTCAAATGGATCTAAAACAGTCTCTTTTGTTGTTGTTTATCTTCCAGGTTCACAAATTGATGAAAAAAAAAATGGAATTCAAATATAATCATCTTGACTTCAACTCCCTGCATGTTTCGTGAGTCAGCCTCTGGACTCCATGTCATAGCTTGCTGATGGCTTTTTAACTTTTCAGGAAGGTGGCAAAGCACTACTTTAGTCAAAATTAAAAAAAAAAAAAAACTCACGTCACTTCAATACTGTTTTCTTGCACCAAGATTGCACAAGATGGCAGCGAAGCTCCTCAACTCACATCAAAATGGTTACTTGGCATCAAGATGCCACATAATGACACCTAAACCACGAACCTTTACAGGATAAGCAGTGCTGAAAATGACATGACATTTTCATTTTCGCAAAATGATTTGATATTCAGCACAATATAAATTGACGAGTTGTGGCATGAAAATATCTTAAATAGAAACAACCTACCACAGCAAGAATGGACATAAAATGCTTTGTTTGGGTTCATGTGGCCAAATGCACTCATCTTAAATCAATATCATGTCATTAAAATTAATTTATTTGTTCAATATTTATGATGGAAGGTCAACCAGCAGACGTTGATCCAAAGCTTTTTCATTTGAATGGTGACTGAATTATATACAGGTAGTCCACAATGTGAAAATCCCTACATCACGTTTACCATTTTCGCACTCTCCAATCACTGCATCTGAATTTTTGGTGGATTCACGTCAACTCGAAATTGAGTGAATGCTTCTGAACACAGCCCACGTCGAGTCTTTCATCGATTTTTAGCCCAGCAAGTCCTAAAAATTGGCAACTTAAGTCCGAGTCCCCTCAATTGTATTTCTAGCAGTAGGCTTCACTTTGCAGCTCCACCATGTGGTCCACTTCCAGGGCGTACGCAGCCCCGGTGGGTGGCTTGTGACCGTTGAGCGGCAGTTCTGGCCGCGCCTCTGCATCGGCCGTCAGGTACCACATGTGGTCGGGGAGGTCCAGCTCCAGCAGCTTCTGTTTGACAAGTAGACTCTTCTCGATGTTCCTCCGCTTGAACTTGAACTCGATGATGGTCTTGGTGTAGCGGTTGAGCGCCGTCACTGCCGAGCCCATGCAGGTGCCGAACGACCCCCACGCTAGGCTGAAGCGAGGACAAGGTAGAGATTAGCATTACTGAAACTAGCTCTTACAGCGAACCTTTTGGGTGGGCAAGATTTGATGAGATGCATGTCGTCTCAAAGCCGAGCGGGTTACATTATGATACACACATACACGCACATACACGCAAATATATCCCTGCATTTGATTTTTCAATCCAACAGTCAACCGGGGTCGAGGAAAGCCGCCCCATCGAAAAGTGTTCCAGTGGGCCACCGGCTGATCTTCCAGGCACAGCTGGTCACCAATGAGCATGCAAATCAAGTCCAAACCTTCAACTTTCAACAAAGTCCCAAAGGTAGTCATTTTCAAATGGATCTAAAACAGTCTCTTTTGTTGTTGTTTATCTTCCAGGTTCACAAATTGATGAAAAAAAAAATGGAATTCAAATATAATCATCTTGACTTCAACTCCCTGCATGTTTCGTGAGTCAGCCTCTGGACTCCATGTCATAGCTTGCTGATGGCTTTTTAACTTTTCAGGAAGGTGGCAAAGCACTACTTTAGTCAAAATTAAAAAAAAAAAAAAACTCACGTCACTTCAATACTGTTTTCTTGCACCAAGATTGCACAAGATGGCAGCGAAGCTCCTCAACTCACATCAAAATGGTTACTTGGCATCAAGATGCCACATAATGACACTTAAACCACGAACCTTTACAGGATAAGCAGTGCTGAAAATGACATGACATTTTCATTTTCGCAAAATGATTTGATATTCAGCACAATATAAATTGACGAGTTGTGGCATGAAAATATCTTAAATAGAAACAACCTACCACAGCAAGAATGGACATAAAATGCTTTGTTTGGGTTCATGTGGCCAAATGCACTCATCTTAAATCAATATCATGTCATTAAAATTAATTTATTTGTTCAATATTTATGATGGAAGGTCAACCAGCAGACGTTGATCCAAAGCTTTTTCATTTGAATGGTGACTGAATTATATACAGGTAGTCCACAATGTGAAAATCCCTACATCACGTTTACCATTTTCGCACTCTCCAATCACTGCATCTGAATTTTTGGTGGATTCACGTCAACTCGAAATTGAGTGAATGCTTCTGAACACAGCCCACGTCGAGTCTTTCATCGATTTTTAGCCCAGCAAGTCCTAAAAATTGGCAACTTAAGTCCGAGTCCCCTCAATTGTATTTCTAGCAGTAGGCTTCACTTTGCAGCTCCACCATGTGGTCCACTTCCAGGGCGTACGCAGCCCCGGTGGGTGGCTTGTGACCGTTGAGCGGCAGTTCTGGCCGCGCCTCTGCATCGGCCGTCAGGTACCACATGTGGTCGGGGAGGTCCAGCTCCAGCAGCTTCTGTTTGACAAGTAGACTCTTCTCGATGTTCCTCCGCTTGAACTTGAACTCGATGATGGTCTTGGTGTAGCGGTTGAGCGCCGTCACTGCCGAGCCCATGCAGGTGCCGAACGACCCCCACGCTAGGCTGAAGCGAGGACAAGGTAGAGATTAGCATTACTGAAACTAGCTCTTACAGCGAACCTTTTGGGTTACCTATAGATGACGGCAAAGCACTTACATTAGATGTTATCAATTATATTAAATGTAGCAGATGCGAACGGTAGCTTGGCATAAAGATGATCGAAAGCTAAACAAAAGGACTTGAGTTTTCTCACACATAAGACCAACTGTAGTCCCAGGTCTTGGGCCTCCAGTCTTCCGGACCCATGGCCACAGCCAGTTGGAAAATGGTGGTGAACATCATGTGGGCCACCATCCCACAAAGGCCTGAAACCAGACAAGAAGTGACGACAACATAAGATACTTTCGGGGTTATGAGTATCCATGGCAATACTGATTGTTGACATTGAGTGGAAATCAGTCACTAATCCTAACCCTGCCCCCCGCCCAAAGAAAACTGGGATCGACTCCCTAATGAGGATAAACGGTATAGAAAATAGATGGCTTGTTGGCTGTACCTCAAATATGGCGATTACATACGATTTATTTATTTATTTTGAATAATCTCTAATCAAGTGAACACGCCAGAGAATCAAAGCACTTCTATAATTTTGACTGTTTTTGAGCGAGCATCAATGAGCCAGCCTCAGAGTGGTCCGGTGGTCTCGGTCTCCCAGTGGAACTCTGCTGGCCTTTACTCTCATGCGGAGCTCTGCCTCACAGCAGCTTTACGAAAGGATTAACTGCTAACAACAGTGCTACAGAAAGGGGGGGTTGGGGGCGCTCCTCTGGGCAGGTCTTGGTCACGGCCCAAAAAGAGCCGCCCGCCTCCAATCGGATTATTGCACAAACCATCAAGCAAATCCTCAGAGTCAGCAAGTCAGCCGGTGTCTTCATCTCGTATGTAGTCCAAAAGTCATACTCGAGTAACGAGTCCAAAAGTCATACTCAAGGAAGGAGTCTAAAAGTCAGTCAATAACTCGTGTCAAAAGTTGTAGTCTGAAAGTCAGTTCGTAACCACTCGTCAAGTCATACGCCGGTGACGAGTCCTAAAGTCATAGTTTACGTCACTAGTCATAAGGCAACACTCTTCTGAAGTGGCCAAAGGTCATCGTCTTGTAATGAGCCCTGAAGAAAAGGAAAGTCATTGTCTACTAACCAGCCCTAAAGTCGTACTCTAGTATTTACTCTTAAAGTTATAGTTTTGCAACTAGTTCAATAGTCATTGTCCCGTAACTAATTCTAAATTGATATTCTTGTAACTAGTTCCGAAGTCGTAGTCTAGCAACTAGTGTGAAAGTCATCGTCTAGTACTGTAAAGAGTTTTTATGTCATTGGTCAGTGACAAGTCTTAAAGCCATACTTGAATAATTAGTTCTAACGTCATACATGCGCAACAAAAGTCATAGTTCAGTAACTGGTCTTAAAGTCATAGACTAGTAACTAGACCCAAAGTCATACACTTGTAACTAGTGTAAAAGCCATAATTTTGAAATGTGTTCTAAAGTCATTGCCCAACAACTAATCCTAAAGTTATCATCTTCCAACTGGTCCTGAAGTTGTACTCTAGTCACAAGTCTCAAAGTCATAGGTTAGTAACTAGTGCTAAAGTTATACTTTTGCAACTAGCCCCAAAGTCAAAGTCTCAGAACTAGTCCCGAAGTCATAGTTTCGTAAAAAGCCTTGTCTCAACGAGCCGATAGATATGCGATGCTCAATAACTCGATACACTTAACTCGTATTCGGCAGTGTCACCCAGTAACCAGGGGGGCCTTGGTTTTCGTTAGCTCCCCCAATGAGCGTCCATTCCTCACCTGACAGTGCAGTGCACATGGCGGCAAAGGCACTCAGCTTGAGTTTGTTCATGACGCTGAAGCAAGGACACTGCTCCAAGGTCATCAGGGCGCCGCCCGCAAACAGCAGCGTCAGGTACAAGGTTTCGGCCACGATGCACAACCACAACACCCCTGCGCATACGGCATGTGAAAATGAGCAAGCATCATTCCAAGTAAAGACAAAAAAAAAAATCATCAAAAGGAACACACAATTCAGAAGAAAACAAGATAAGCAGCTATGATGATGCTTCCACACAGTCATTTAAGAGGAAAGTGATTAGTGGAAAAGCATGAAATTGCTCTGCCTATCACTATACATTGTTGGCAAAGATAGGTGAACGAAGACACATTATTTGTAATAAAGAAATAATAAGTGCCGCACCAGTAAAGTGCAATGGCTAATTTTCGATCAGTGGTATAAAAAAAAAATGTTTTTAAATATGTGCTGACCTCGTTCGTGTTCCGGCGCGATCTCCGAGAAGTCCCGACAGTCGAAGCCTGCGTTCACATGACAACAATTAAAAATCGTTCACACAAAACATGAAAAAAAAAAGCGCGGTTGTGTTTGCAACACAGGTAACAACATAGGGAAGTGAGAATTCAAAGTGGTCTATCATTTAACCATTCGCTAAATATAAACTAATTACATGCAAAACAGAAGTTACAGCGCTAACTGTAGGTACCTTCTTATTCCACTTGATCACGTATGAGGCCGGCGAGCAAACTCGTTCATTCAGCACGTTCGCAAGCTCAAACTGCATACATCGAAAACACACGAGTACGCCCAAGGCCCCTTGCGCCCGAAAAGCTATTCAAGCACGAAGCTAGCGGTGACTTCATCCTCAAAACACTTGCGAAGAAAAAGAACCTGCTACTGTACTGTCGTAGCTAGTAGTCCTCATATTCTAGTAATTAATCCTCAAGTCATCGTTTCGTAACTCGTCCTCAAGTCACTGTCTTGTGACTAGACTGAAAGTGACATTTAAGTAACTCATCCTGAAATCATAGTCTTGTTACTCACATACCAGTCTAATAACTAGTTTTAATGTCCTTATCTAATTACTAATCCTAAAGTCACACTCCAATGACTCGTCTAAAAGTCAGTCCACTAACTAGTCCTACACTCATCGTCGATTAGAAGTAGTCTTCAAGTCATTTTCAAGTATCAAGTTCAAACATCACACCTACAACAACAACTCAGTTCAAATCCCATTAGCATGAAGCTAACTGTCACAAAAATAAGAGTGACAAAAATGAGATAAGAGTTCAGGATCGCAAGCAGTTCCTCATCATCTATTCTCTCTCTCCCTCTCTTAGATGACTTCTGGGTTGCTTCTGCAGCGGCGAATCACCTGTGTCCGCCGATTCACGCGAATTCCCCTTTTCTTACCGTTCATATCGGCAGCCTGCTCGCAGGAGAAGAAGATTCCGGTGTGGAATTTCTTAAGCAAGAACTTCTCCTCGCCGGTCTCGAAGATGTACTGCACTAGGCGACTGTCGTTGATGTTGGAGCTGTTGAAGCGGATACAAAAAAACTGCTTGACCTTGACGGGCGGCCCGGTGCAAAAGGGTTTGGCAACCTTCCGGGTGCCCTCGCACCAATAGCTGGTGGTGACGGCAGACAGGGCGAAAGCGAACGCCACGAAGTTGAGGGTCAGTGCCAGAGAAGCCCGCCGTCCGCGCTCCAGCCTCATGGTCCAGGCCGGAAACCGACAAGCGGGACTAATCCCGGCTTTTAAGGCTCGGCCACCGGCTTTTGCCTCCCGGTGGATGCGTCAAATCTTCATAATCTCGTTGCCGTGGAGGCTCGGTGGCCGTCAAGAAACGTGAAGCGCCACTGTTTCCAAGCTTCCTTTAGGGATTCATCCTATCGTCCTGTCCTCGCCGTCCCTACGACGTGCTCCTCCCCTCGCCCGACGTATTGTCCGCCACAAATGGCAAATTATAGGACAGACTTCCTTTCATCATATTTATAAAGCGCAGATTACAGCCATCTGACAATATAATCCACAGCAAGGTTCTTACACGCTGCCTGTCAGCAGCCACAAGACCAACCAATCGCTTTCGACCCAAACATGGAAAACCCCCGCATCCTCCTCCAGCCAAACATCAATTTATACGCAGATTGAGCATTTATTTGATATCCTACGAGCTGGTGACCAGTCCATTGTTTGTCTTTATGTGTCCTGCCATTGACTGGTGACCAGTCGAGGGCGTACTCACTTCTCGATAGCTGCAAGTCAAATGGGATGGGCCCCTTACTCTTAAAGCTGAACTGGAAAATGAATGGCAAGCTGTTCTGAGCAATGTTAAACTAGTGCACTGAACTGTTCATGGACAAGTGGAGGCTATGCAATCAATTAGTAAGACAATAGACTGACTGGTGATTTTTTTCCATTATTGTCTTCTGCGCCCCATTTGTTCTACTTGTGCGTTGAATTGTGCTGTAAGGCTCTTTGTCATCATCCGTCAGGCAGTTCAGCACGCATGGGAAGGACAGAGGGCACATTAGTTGAGCAACGACATGTTTTTTGTGAGGCAAAAGTGCACACGAGTCGACTCCAAGCTACTGGCAGCATGAGCAAAATGATTCAATTCGTTCATGAGCGCTTCACTAGTCGTGCTCACAGCACGCAGATGTCAACTCGTGCACCGTTTTGGGTAACTAGTAGCATGCAGTTGTTTTACTAGTACGACCTAGTCGTTCTTGTCATCGGCAATTCATTAGTGGAAAAATGTCAGTAGTGATGCCAAACCAATGATACAGTACTTGGCACCTATAGACAAACAAGCATGCATATGCAAAAATCACACCAATGGAGAATTTGGAGTCTCAAATGATGCTAAGGTACCATTGGGACATGAATAACTCAAATTAAAATCCAAGATATTTCTGACTGTAATGCAGATGTTCTCACCACATGCTTCGCTGTGATGTACACGAGTAAAAAAAAAATAATAATAATAAAACATTATTATGCTAACGAAGTAGATTTATGAGTCTGTTGAGGATCTGTCTTTGGGACTGGACAGTTTGGAGGTTCATGACTTGCTGTGGATCCATTGTCAAGGTGTCTTTGACTCATGTGAACTTGGATTTACTCTACTGTACTTCTATTTCAATGACAACATGCCAGGGAATGTCAGCCCCGTGATTTGACTGAAGGAAGGTGAAATGAGTTCAGGACGTACTGTAAAGTCCGCTTACATCAGAGTCTTTTCAACAAGCAGCGTCCACCTGTCCGTGGACTCTCATTTTCTGACAAAAGAATCGGAGCGTAATGTGATTATGTAAAAAGTACATGATGGCATTTGGACGTCTAAAGATTAAATTAATCTGGTTTGGTGAAAGTAGGCAGGATGAACAAGGAGGATTACAACGCACCAAAAAACAATTTAAAAGATGAACTCTTTTTTTTTTTTAACATGCACCCACTTTGACAACCTTCTTATTGTCGTTTCAACAAAGTAACCATGATGATCCGCTATTGTGTGACCTTTCAGCCTGTTTTTTTTTCTGCATTTGGCGTTAAAGATACAACAGTTAATTAGTTGTTCTCTGTTTAATCAACTCATTCGCTAATTGACTTGATAGCAGCAGATGGTCTGCTAATCTAGTTTGAGACTATTACTTCTCCACATAATCTCTTCTTTGTGTTCGATTTATGGAATGAACCACCAAGAATTTCATACCACGTCATTTCTTTTACCAAGCAGCTTGTCATCATACAAGATATAAACTCTTCATAAAAGGAAATGGAAAAAAAACGTGTGCGCGTTATTAATATGATATATTTTTGTGTTAGTGCACACTGCCCCTGAAGCATCCTATCAGTTTCACTTTTACAAAAGAAGTATTCAAAAAAACAAAAAAACAGGTTACCTTTAACCCACAGTGGCGCCGTAACCCGAATCACCGGAAGTTGTTCGTGGTCAGCAGCCTGCAATCGCGATCAGAGCTGTTGCGATATATCTTTTTTTATTGTTGTTCTGATTCGTAGTTCGTTTCATCTGCAATTCACTGATGCCACCGGCAAAGAATGGGAATCTGTAGTGCAAGGGGAAGCATTTTAAAACGGTACACCTGAGCCACGATGGTTTGTGCACTTAGCACCCTGCAAAAGTGCTGCTTCCAATATCGGTCATCATGGCATGCGTGCGTTCGTGTATGCGTGCATGTGCGGTAACGAGTTGATCGCGGGAGGTTGGTTGCTTGTCAAGTAGATCGTCGGGCAAAAAAAGGTTGGGCGCCCCTGCTGTCGATTAAAGGACAAGGACCAGAGGCACTTGTGGGCGGGGTTTTGGTGACCATCCATTAGTATAGAGGCGGCCACAAGAGGGCACTGGCAGCCTTTCTGTCGGACGCTTCAAATCACTCCGTGGAGAGCTGAAACCACCAGAAGGTTTCAGTGAGATGGACAAGGTCAAGTCAGATGTCAGTGAAGTCATACCTGGACCTGCTGGTTGGACGGAACCTCTAGAGTAGACCCTAGTCAAAACCATGCTGCAGAAGTTTTTGTTTGCGAAACAGGATGAACCATGTTTGGTGTTTAGGAAAAACAAATCAGAAAAAAATGATTGGTCCTTATCCTCATTTGGGTCGCGCGCAACTAGGACCGATCATCCTATAATCATTAGGCATGTATAGACAAAGAAGAATTCACTCTAACATTCAGGAGATCTTTAGTCTTTAATGTAGTGAATTAAGTACCCACAGAAAAGCCACTCAAAAAGGGGACGCTGAAGCCCAAAACTGTGAGACAAAAATGTTAACAACTACCCCAATGTGTTACCAAAAAACTTAAATTCCATAAATGAGGTGTGAAATCTGGAGTACATTCCAAAATCCAAAAATGGTCTGGTTCTTTAGTTCTGCACCGGTTTGCTGTTTCGGCAAAGAGCCTCCAAAGCTTACCAGGTGTTTAGCACCTGCTGTGTTTTAATCCTTCACTAACACCGCAGTGTCATTGCAAAGGTGTCATAGCGCGCTGACGTGTCCACCTTCTAAATCAGACACGGAGCTGTCTAGATTTAGGTTACCGTGACAATAATCTGCTTTGCTACCGTGAAAGCAGGCCAGAGCGAGCGAGCGCGAGCCAAGAAGAAGAAGAAGGAGACGCACCGATGGGGAACACCAAGAGCAGCACGTTGTCCAAGGAACTCCTGGAAGAGCTGAAATCCAACACCAAGTACTCCGAAGGTGAGCTGTGCACATGGTATCAGTCCTTCATCCGGGAATGTCCCAGCGGGAAGATCAGCAAAGAGCAGTTTGAAGGCATTTACGCCAGCTTTTTCCCGGATGCCGACCCTACCGCCTATGCCCGCCACGTCTTCCGGAGCTTTGATACCAATGCCGACGGAACCCTGGATTTTAAGGAGTACATTGTGGCACTTCACCTCACCTCGGGTGGGAAGACCCGTCAGAAGCTGGAGTGGGCCTTCGCTCTCTATGACGTTGACGGCAACGGGACCATCAGCAAGAACGAGATCCTGGAGATCGTCAGGGTATGAACGCCTTCACCACCTGACATCTGAACAACTAAATAAAATCCAATTTATCCTCAAAGGTTCATCTACAACTAGTCACCAATACATCTGTGGAAATAAATAAGAAATTGTTAGTAAGCAGTACCTGCGACTTGTGAACTTCGCAAGAACAACTTAGTGAGGCGCACCCGCACCTTACAGACCTGGTGACCGCAACTTAGTAAGTTGCAGCCACGCATTTTATTTGTCACGCACACAACGTGGTTCCCTTTTTAAATCTCGCAGGCACAACTTCATAAATTGAACCGGAGCCTTCCATACGTCATGTGCACGACTTACTAAATCGCAGGTGGCCTTCCTCTTCTGTAAATTGGACGGCAACGGAATCATGAGGAAGAATAAGATTGTAGTACGAATGCCTTTATGACTCTCCACCAACATCTTTGGCGTCACTTCACATTAACAGGCAAAGCAAATTTTGTAGGGCCTTCACTTCAGTGGTTCTGCTACGAGTACTTAATCTTCACTTCTAGATGTAGGTCGATAACAGCATGTGACTTCCATGCAGTCCATCTTCAACATGATCCCAGCTGATGACCAGGAGAATCTTGCAGAAGATGAGAACACGCCAGAGAAGCGAGCGGAGAAGGTCTGGTGCTTCTTCGGCAAGAAGGAGAACGGTAATTCCCCCGCAACAAGAGTATTCTTTTTTTTTTTTTTTTTTTTTTAATAATGATTTTTATAGTGATACGCTGTTTCATGTATGTCAGACAAAATCTCGGAGGGCGAGTTCATCCAGGGCGTGATGGACAATCAGAATATCTTGCGACTCATCCAGTATGACGAACCTCAGAAGATTAAAGACAAGCTGAAGGAAAAGAAACAATAGTGGCAATAAGCAGACTCTTGACGGTTTGCTTTTTTGTTACCGTGGCAACCACGCAGGAAGTGTCTCTCGACAACTCATTGTGGAAAAAAAACTAATCAAGAACGTCATCGATGTGTGGTTTGGCACTCACTGATTTTTTTTTCCTTATCCTTCATTACTCCCTTTAGCACCATCTGCTGGCATCTTGGTGTCATAGAACTATGTTGAAGTGAGTTGAGGAGTTTCATACAGACATACCATAACATTTGACTGTCACGTTAACTACATCGTCCGCTATATGCAAATCGCTTGATTCTTTTCTGCGGTAGGGAGCGAGTGGAATGATTCCTAATACAGCAACTGTGATCTGAATTATTCACTAATTTCCAACTCCCTGATTAGGATTTTTTCGGGATTCTACGGGGATTTTTATATCGCCAACCGACACAGTTCACACTTCACAAAATGTACTGTGTACTGAGTAGGGAGCAGCAAATGATTGCAAACACATCTTCCACGAAGCTGAACTCAAGGCATGCTATTAGCACATGCTAAGGAAGTTAGCACTGCCTTGGGTTCTCAGTTCTGTGCCCAAGCAGGAGTGTCACGGCAATAAGATGTAAATAATTAGCGGCACGCTAATGCTAAGCTGTTTAAATCAGTTTAAACATGATGTTGATGGGAGGTGGGGGTGGATGGGTCAGGTTAAGCGCTTTAATCCTATCACGAGCTGAAGGTCGATGCCAAATGACCCAACTAGCAATACAATCACAATAACTGCAGCTTCTAACCCAGTACACATTTGAGGGTTACATTTGCGACAATCTTACAAAGCAAACAGCTTGACTACAGACGATTTGGTAGTTTGACCCTTCCAACACACTTAAACTTATTCAAACACACTTTTTAAAGGAGAATTGTCCAATTGTGATGTAGAAAAGCATCAAAATCAGCACTACACGCTATCCGTCCAACATATGGGAGCATTGTACTCTCCTCTGAGAACGTTGATTTGTTTTGTGAATATGTTGCTGATGGGACTTTTATGTGTCTTTTTATATCTTTTTGTATGTATTGTTGTATTGTTTTATCTGGAGTCTGTCATACGTTTTTATCACTTTTTAAAGTTTTATTGAGTATTATAACTAATAATATGGTTTTGGAAAAAAAGGCAAGAGATACTGTGTAGACGCACGACTAATATTTTAAATCTGTGTTTTATTTGATAAACTACATAACTCCCGAATTACAAATTAGAATATTGCCTTTTTGTAGCGTATTTGCAGAAAATGAATAATAGACAAAGTACTAAAAAGAGTGCAGTGTTTTGATTTGTTTGTTTTTTGGTCTTTTAATTTTTTTTCCAGAGGTTATAAAAGATAAATAGGATGGCATCTTGGCATCGAGGAACTATGTTCAAGTCACTTCAGGAATTTCATTTCAGCAATAAAATGCTTTACTGCCATCTTGTGACTACTTTGTGTGAATTTCAAAAATATTTGTGGGGTATAGTGACTGAGCCCTTCTGCAAGAACCAAAAAAATGTGAGTAATTGACACCTCGCACTTTATATTTTCCTGGAGATGCCACGAGATGGCAGCAAAACAACACTAAATTTGAATGAAGTTCCTCAATTTACTCTAACACAGTTCCTTGGCAGCAAGGCGGCAAAAAAAGCCCCACTTTTGTCTAATTAAGCCTCTTAATTCACTTCAATATAGTCCTCAGCAGCAAGGAACAGATTAGCTTTGTTCAATGAATAATAGGATAGGAGGATAGGTTCATGCTGTACCGTAAATGTGTGCCGTCCTTCATTTCGTAAAAAGAAGGCAAGTGCATGCTACACTTTCCAAAAACAAAAATATTAAATCTGTCAATGTTTCATTTTTGAATGCCATTAAACCTGTTCCTGTTTACACTGAAAACAAGCAGTTTGTTTCGCATTTTGTGACATTGGTGGACCACGTTTGAAACGGAACCTGTCAACTTAAAATCAATGTGTGTAGCCAACTGTGATTTTGGGCGAAATTTTACACCTGAAGCCGCGTAGGCAAGTGTAACAAAAACTGTTCCTTGGCTGACACGTTTTTGTGAATTTGGTTTCAGATTCACGGTTGTAGATTAGCACGGCAGAAGGAATTATTGAAGAGTAATTACAGATACGAGCGAAATGAGGGGATTTACTTTAGAATGCAGTGGCTTTTTTTGAAGTTCACTCAATAAATGACTGAAACAATCACATTGCACTTGCCACTAAAACTGTAAATTTCCCTTGTGCATGAATAAAGCATTTTGAATGACACGACTAGAATGTCCACCCACGTATGAAATTTCACCCATGTCATCCTCTTTAAGGATCTTTGTGCTACATTAATACATTTTTATTGTTGTGTGCGATAGGAAACATTATACCTGCCTCACTGTCCTTCTCTCGACCAAAAGGTTTGACCCCACCCTCCCCCACCCGCAATAGGTTGTTCCTCCCTCATGTTGCGCTTACATAACCAAGAAAACAAGCTGACTTTTCCAAGAGGAGCTTTATTATTCTTTTTATAATTATTTATGACTAATATGACGGACAAGATGCATTCCACAGTGTGCTCTCCAAAAATATTCCCAAAAAGATGAGAAGCACACGAGGGCGGCAAACTCGGAACATCAAATACACAACAACAAAACACTAACAAAACACAACGAGTGATCAGAAAGGACCACAAAATGGAATCCAAATAAAACACACGAACAAAATGTAGACAAACACACGCACATAAAAACATACTGCACATGCAGTTACAATTAACCCGCAAGGGGGCGCCACCGGACTGTCTTCTGTGTACACAAAATAAGACAGCGGAAATGGTGGCGAACAAGGAACCCGGAAGTGACAACGTGAACGAATTTTATTAAAAAAAACAACTTTTGAATTAAGCGTTTGTTTTTTTTCATATTTATAATTCATACTCGCAAGATACGCAAGTCACTTAGAACTTGGTAAGTCATGCTTGTCCCTTACTCCTGAGCACAACTCAATCAGTCGCATAAACTTATCTCACATGAACAAGCTACGAAATCTCGTCTTGTGTTATCTGGCATGGTCAAGTTGGCTAAGTCACTCCCGTGACTAACTTCATTGCACTTTTTATATCTTGTACTGATTTGTAAGTGTGTATCTGGCAAGCGCACGTAATAAGTGTCACATGACATGAAAACTTAAATTGAGGCATGTGGTCTCTGGGGGTTCCTTCCAAGCACTTGAGGCACAAGAAGGTTTTCCAGTATGACGCGGTCCAACTTTTACCCGCCTCCCATCCAGGTTTTCGTTTGCGTAGAAGAAGCATGCATGTCCAGCAGCCATCTTTCAAAATATGAAAATATTCCACAGCAAGTTCCTCTTGATATCCAAAAATAAAAGAGAATCATCAAGACTTTTTTTTCTTTTCAAACGAGACATCAAAACGTAGAAGAAAACGAGTGACGTAACGACAGCAGAAGAAGAAGAAGAAGAAGCGAGCAGGGTTCACATGTATTAGGAACATGCTGGTTCTGATTCTGGCTCTCCCTAGCTTCAGATGTCCAAGTCCACTGGCCTGACGTGGCCTGTCTTGTTATCTTGGACCCAAAGCTCTCGGTCCTTGGCCGGGTCCACCTTCTGCAGCAGCTGGTCCACTGGCTCCACCGTCTGGACATAAGAAGGTAGGGCAGCCTTATTATTTCAATCTCCTTGGGTTTTTATTTGAAAATGGACCAATCACGGTCAAGGAGAAGCTAATATCTGCTAATTCATCTCTGACCAGCTAGAAATGGATCAATTATATCAAAACGCTGATATTCATCATTAAAACGAAGACGAGAAGGACCTCTGCCAAGGCCCAACTCACTAAAATTGTTCGCAAGGTAAAAGAACTTTCAACTCACGCCCTGGTTGAACATATCAGTCTCGTGCCTCAGCGTCGTGTACTGACGCAAATGTTGCTGGATCCACTCGATGCGATCCACCTCCAGCTTCTCCAGCTCCTGATTGGACGCCACAACAACAAGACACATCTCGTCATCTGTTCCTTTTTATTTCCATTCCAGTGGAATCTGTTTGGAGATGCTGCTTGTGAACCGAAGCAATTAGTTTCCATTCAAATAAATAAGTATTCTTGGTTTACCATGCTGGTGGTCACCATCTCCTCAAACCACTTGGACTGGGCCTGGTTGTAAAGGTCCACACAGCGCATCAGGTCGTCTCCTAAAAAATATGCACACACAGAAACACCATTATATGCCAGGCGGAATGCTGTTGTTTTTCCTGTAATAGTCACCAGAAGACAATCAGTTCAAGAAATAAATTCCTTGAATTCTCTGATGAAATATCCATCCACGAATTGGTCGCCAGTCACTGTCATCGCACGAATAGACAAATAACGGACAAGTGGCCAGCCACTTGATGTTGTCATTTCGTCACGTGGGGCAACCTGCTTGCGTGGATTTCCTGCGAGCCTTCTTGATGTCTTCTTCCGTCTTGTTGCTGAGTTTGATCTCCAGCTGCTGCGTCTTGACTTCCAGATCCTTCTGACGCTCGGCCAGAGCTTTTCGGGCCTGAAAGACGTGCAATGTCTGAAGGGGCCGCCGCTATGCGAAAGGCAGTGTGACGAATAAGAGTACGGTACCTTCTCGACGCCAGCATATCGACTGGCAAGTTGTTTCCTGAGGTCTGCGATGTGATGGTCGTACTTCTTCAGGTCCTTCTTGAAGTTGTCGGCTCGGAATGTCAGCAGCGGCTTCTCAACCTCGGAGTGAAGCTAAACATAGCAGCTTCTTTTTAAAATAAAAGCCCTGGCAAACTCAAGCTTGCCTTCATTTTGAAGACAAGATGCAGATGAATATGTTTCTCAAGTTAACAAAATATAAAATGATTGTTTTTTTTGGTTTTTTATTTTCATGTGATCACAGAGCAGCAAAGCTGTGCAGGCAACTAACTAACTAACTGTGTTCATTTCGGAAATGTGAGCTGCATTTCTCAATAAAAGCAGAACCCACTTACTAATTAACCAACCAAATAACTACCAAAATACCAACTACTTTGCTGATGAACACACCACATAAACGTCTTCCTAGCCAATTAAACACCAAAAGCAAAAACTCACATGCTAGCTGCTAAACTAATTGAAAAACTAAATAAATAAAAGACTGGTTAACCACCTGACCACAAAATTAGCTAAATAATCAAGCACATTAACTAACCACTCAACTACCTAACATACAAACCATCCTGTTGATCAACTATCTGCAAAATAACTGACTGCCTAACAACTAAACCACCAATCAACCAAATAGCTGACTAACTAACCAATCAGCTCACCAATCGAGCACCTCACTATCAAGCTAGCTAACGTACATTAAATAACTGCCAAACTAACCAAGCAAACACACCACTAACGAGCTGATTCGCCAATCAAAGGAACCACCCTTCTAAATAACGGATTAACCAACTAAAATAACAACTGTGCATACCTTACTAGCTGAAAAACATGCGAGGTAAATGAGTGACTGCGCCATGAAGCAATCAGTCGGCCTACAATGAAGCAGAATGGGAAGCCAATTAAACTTCCGAAAAGGTTACCTTGTTGGAGAACTTGAGGTGGACTTCGGCCTCGTCGTGCAGACTTTTCTTTAGCTGAGTCCAAGCGTCTCCCAGGGTGCTGAACGCAACCACCAGACATTTCATTCGGTACACCAGCTAATCAAGTCACTTCATTAGGTACGCTAGTCCCTATTCAATTACTCTTTACAGGAGTGCTACAATGCACTTGAAAAGATGTTCAACTTCTTTTTGACATTTGATTTACTTCTTTTTCTGTGTTGTTATTTTAGAATGAAGGTTAATCAAGCTGATATGAACTGATCTGAATCGGACTTTAAAATGATCTGAACCTAATTTGGACCTGATGTAAGCCTAATTTGAACCTCATCTGAAACTGATTTGAGTCTGATCTGAGCCTGATCGAAACCGAAATTAAGCCTCATCTGTGCCTTATTTGAGTCCAACCCAATCCTTCTACAGCAAACATAAAACAAATAAGTTGCCCCCCCTCTCTGACCCTTCTTCCTGCGCCGCCAGAGTGCTGAGAGAAAGTTTGGACAAGTTCTTGGCGTATTCCTCCTCAATCTTGATCCTGGAACACAATGAGAATGAAAACGATGAGCTGTGCTGGGAATCCTTCCCTGGCCACTACCTGCATGTATATTCTGTAGTGAGTCGGCCATTTTGTAGTTCTTTTAGAATGTGTAGTGAGTGGAGGCTCTGGCCTTGCTTTTCCACAACTAGTAGCTGTTTTCGACTAAAATTTGTTCATTAAAATGTAGCTATTTATTTGATAACGTTTGCATCACATTATTTTGTCACTGTTAGTAAAAACATCAAAAATATGCGATTGTGAGATGGTGTTTGTACCTCTCGTGCACAAATTCGGCCATCTCCTTCTGCATCTGTTTGCCCTTCAGTTGCTTCTGCAGCAGAACCTCAAAGCCGCCGACCGACGTGGCCCCCTGGGGGTCCTTTTTGTCTGTCTGCAAGACAGGAAGTCAAACACGTTGGGGCTTTTATCAAAAATTGGATTTCGTGTCAGTTAACAGTAAACTTCAACTGGGAGCGACAAATCAAATTCAAAATAAACGTTCACCTTTGGCGGGTGGGTGCGGAACGTATCTGCCGCAATAAACAGGGGTTCAGTGTACCTTGTATATGAGGCTTAAGACTGACGTGTTTGCGAAACTGACCCAGAAGTAATCGCAGTAGCTCCATTCGTTGGGTTTGAGCAGTTGCTGCTCGGGTCCTTCTCCGGGAAGTGGGAACGTCACACCGTTGATCTGCATGCAGTAGTAACCAAAGTCCAAACAAACACAAGAAGTCAGACTAGGAATAGACAGGAAGTCAGAGCAGAAAGAAGGAAGGCGTAGAAAACATTTGTGAGCTAAAGCAGTGGTGCGGAGGTAGAAAAAGGTCAGTCCGTAGCAAGGCTCGGTTGCCACGGTGACACGGAAACCTCCAGGGAGAATGGTGACGGGGAGTCGTCGGGAAGGGGGCAGGGGGGGTTAACACGGTCAGTGTGGTCCATGTCAAGACTCCAGCGTACGTCTCTAATTAGTCTCACGGTTGAAATTACGTAACAGACACACACACACACATGCCATCCGTGTGATCACAACACAGACACAACCACACACACTGTGGTGATTCCCTGCGTGTTGGATCAACTGTCACACGCCAAATGATGGGAGGTGCAGGTCAGCTGGCATACCGTATGACATCGTGGGCAGCAGTGGTTGAGTGGTTAGCACGTCTGCTTCACAGCTGTGAGGTTCAGGATTTGAATCTGGCATTCTTGTGTGGAGTCTCCATGTTCAAAAAACAAGCTTTTTTTTTTTTTTTTTTTTTTTTTTTTTTTTGGTGGCTGAAATGGATTCACAGCATTTCAATTGTGGGAAATTGACTTGATATACGCGTGAATAGCATTGTGAGCTTGCTCACGGAACAAATGACACCCATCAATCAAAGTAGAATTGTACTGTGGTAGGAGTATATGTTCTGTGATCAACCTTTGTTCGAAGCAATGGTGACAATGGGAGTTTTAATCAGCATTGTTTCACTTTAACCAACATCAAGCCGCCATCCCATAATGTCCCAGTGGACCACAAACAGATGACTAACACAACCCACTTATATAATTGCACACACACACACACACACACACACACGCATCGCGCACATGCACACAATCGGCTTCAGGACACGGCATCAAAAAAAGTGGCCGGTTTACCGAGCGTCACTTTGCAAATTTTCTGCCTGGTAGATCAAAGTGACAGTTGCCAGGACAACGGTTGCCATGCAGACCCCTGCCGTCGCACCGTGGCACCGCTCGGCAACATCCGACACTAGTACAGGACTGGTCGATCACGATGCGATATGATCTGCTGCTAGGCAACGTGTGACTTGCCCACTTGACATGTTTTCTCCTCAAGAAAACAATCCGATGCGCCCACTTCAAATTTTCAATGGAACCAAGGTCCACTTCCCTCCATTCTAAACAAATCACCTTGAAGGTGAAAACAAGGTTAGGGCTCCATGTTCCATCTGAGGGTCAACCATGCATGCGTGTGTGTGCGTGTATGTGCATGTGTGTGTTTGTGTGTGTTTGTGTGTGTTTCTCCATGGCAACGGTGTGCGCAAGAGTGTAACGTGAGGCGCATAAAAACACCTGACGTCACAGTGACGAATGAAGTGTGTGTGTGTGTGTGTGTGTGTGTGTGTGTGTGTGTGTGTGTGTGTGTGTGTGAGTGAGTGAGAAGCGATTCGGGCATTTACTCCACATCCTCCATATCCAACTAAAAACATCTACGTACTCGTGCGCTCTTTGTCTTTAAGATAAGATAAGATAAGATATCCTTTATTTGTCCCACACTGGGGAAATTTACAGCCTTCAGCAGCAAGATTGTGGGTAGAAAGAAGAGAAAAGAAAACACAGTTCAATTAAGTG